AAACAAAATTTCATTTCTTCTGCTATAAGATTAGTTTACATTACATTATTTACATATTACCTATTGGAAAAAAATCTACAAATTTAAGAACCCACAAAAATGTTCTTTATCACAAATCGACGAAATTTCATGCCCACTAAATTAAGTGAATTCACAGTAATAAGAGCCTGTCCAGGTGAAAAATATTGTAGACTCTCAGTTGAATGATTATTTACATTTTGGCGTGCCAGTGTCAACCATTTCATAATTTTTTGATCACATGTCATGAATGATACTTATTATTATTATTTGTGTCTAAGAGACAATGAATGTGTGACATTTTTCAGTGTGTAAATGGGTCATTTTATTTTAGTTTAAATGAAGCGGTTATTGAGAGATTGGATAATGACAGCAGAAATTTAAAGCATAATATTGGAATTTAACAATAAAAAGAAGTTTTTTGTTTATTTTTTTAATGAGTTTGAATATTTGTATGTATGATAATTTAGAAGTTCTGTATTTGTGAGATAATTTCAAAGTGATCAGACCTCTACATTGGATCAGTGTTTTCCTACCCCCTTTCCCCTAAAATATCCAAAAGATTAAAAATGATTGTCTTAATTTCTTTTTCATTCAAAGGTTCAATTAATTTCCTCACTGTTTTGGGTTTTCAAATTTTTTACGATAGGAATTTATGTTACATGGAGGAGTCTTCCACTGCCGGTAAAACTGATACCCTTTACAGTGTCAATGTAACTTGAAACCCAATCCCAAAAAAGTATTAAGAATTTAACTTACAAAATGGTCTGATCTGATCCGAGGATGCTGGTTAAAGTCCTTGTCATATTTAACACTATGTGTCTTATGATACTATATCTGCATCTATGTTTGCATGTTTATTTTGATATATATACTTGATTGTATGAATATTATAAAAGTGTAAAATTTTCATCATTTCTTTATATGTTATTGATTTATATATATATAAAATTAGTTTTGTACAAAGTATTTATTATAAGGTACTCAATGCTGTTTATTTGCAATGATTGTGTCAGTGATGTGCTATACATTGTGATTACATACATCAATTACAAATATTTCATGTTACATAAATTACATGTTATCATTTATAACACTATTACATTGTATCATAAAATACATTTTCCTTTTTCTCAATAAAATGTGACAATTCAGGTTTTTCTTTCGTTATTTTGTTTCCATAGCTTCCAGCCCATTTAAGATGTACATTAAAAATTATGAACAATTGTTCAAACAGGGAGCATATACCTTGTAACTTTGTTGTCGATTTTTAGTGACAGCAAGCAAACCATGGATGGTTCTCAAACCTGATTTTTACGCCTTCACTTAAAGGCCTATAAGCTTTTTGTTTTGGTGTCCCCTTACAATTTCTTTAAAAGTTGTCATTGGCCAGATAGCTGAACCATTTTTAGCTTCTTCTTGTTGGAAGTTCAATGATTTAGTATTTTGTAAGTCAAAATACCACTTTGTTTACGTTTTGTTAGATTTATGACAAATTATTACCAACTTCAAGTGATTAACATTCAATATGCTATCACATTAACTAAGCCATGTTTGCCTCTTCTGAAGCACAAAATTTGTTTAATATTTCTGAGGCATAATAGTGAGAGCATACTGTGATGTGGGTTACATCCGCATATGACCTGAAGTAATAAGCATTCGTGTATGTAATTTACTAGGGACACTGCCCACGGCCAGTAGATGACTTCTATTGATTTTTGGTGAAAGGTCAAGGTCACCATGGCTTTGTCCTGCTAACTAGAGTTAGGATGTGGAAGTTATTCATGACTAATAGATGATCCCTATTGATTTTTAGGTCAAAAGGTCAATGTAACCATGACTACTAAAAGCTTGTCAGAGCATAAACTATAGAAAACTTTGAACAACTGTTGAATCTTTCTTAAAAAAATAAAGATGACAATATCATTATTATTCTGTCCAATCACAGTCTGTAGATGCAAGTCCTTGGTGAACTTTTTTTGGTGTAACACTGCTTGCAAAGGGTTAGCTTGCAAAATAACAATTTTGTTATTAATTTTACAAGACTTAAAAAAAAAACCCAAAGCACATTCTGTCAAGTTGATTAGAAATCTATCCGTTAAAGGCAAGTTTTTTTTTTCAAAGACCTCACGGCGATTATTCCAATACTAGTACCTGTATCTCTCGTATACCCAAAATAAAACAAAGATTTGTTTAAATCATTAATTTATTAAAAACAATCCCTATCTATTGTTATAATTTTAACAAAGGTAGGTATAACAAACTTCAATATTGTCTATAAACTATGCAAAGAGAATCAAACTCATGACTGCATGTAAAGGAAATTTCTTCATGATGGCATAGTTATTACATGCATTTATATTCACATCTGATAAAAAATAAAGTTTCTTGTAAAATGTCAATATTTTCATAATTATTTACAAATATTGCTAAGATTTTAAAACATTGGATAAAAAATAAGTAAAAGCTTATTTCAATTGTGTAGACACTTATATTTGTCCTTTAAATAGGTTAAGTTGATTAAATAGTTGAAAAAAAAACTTGAAAAAAAAAGTTACTTGAATGTTACCTTCCTCTTTAGTTATGAATTTAAATAAATCATTGTAAATGCCCGTATTATAAACAATTAAAGGGACTCCACTGAAGTTTTCTGACATAATGGCACTGGAAATATTTTTTCAAGATTAATGTTCCATTTGATGTAGGTCTAGACAAATAACTTATGTGCAAAATTCCAGATCAATAATTATTGTAACTGTGAAAAAAGTCCAAAATTGAAAAGCGTTGGAATGCTTTTCACTAAAACCAGGCTAAGAATAGCACAAAAATATGATATTTTCTGTTTTAAGTGCCCTATCTGATCTTTGTAAACAATTCAACTTTTGTATTTTTCCGAATTTGAACCTCAGTGAGTTCCTTTAAAAGAATAACAACATAAACATTCTGGTGAAAAATACATAATTATCCAATCTATAATTCAATGTATCAATTCAATTTACAGGTAAAACAAAACTCACTGCAACTGTTTTAATCATCAATAATGACAAATGCTCTCATTAACAGAATCAAGCAGTGTCAACATATGTGGGAATGGAACTGTGAAGTAGTACAAACTAATGACTGCCTACTGTTTAAAATCATCTGAAGCAAATGTCCACATATTTAACTGCCATTTTTTTTGCCATATACCAAACTCTATGTTAAAATGGAGCTACATTCAAATTAACAGGTTTATTTTTTGTTCCATTTTTACATCACACCAACACTATAGAGGTCATATGTGTCTTTCCAGCTTTACTGGTGGAGGAAGACCTCGGGTACACTCAGGCACAAGCGGGCACCTGAGTAGAACCACTAATGTTCTATATACTAGCTGGATAGTTTCTGTACATGAAAGAATAAATAGTCCCTGGCAGGATTTGAACCCACAGTAATAGGCAAGTGGTTTATTAATATGTTAAGATAAAGGCTGATAATAACAGTAAATTAACACATGTGCATTAAATGTATATAGAATTTTTATTCTAGTTTGATTGTGTAGGAAGCGACACAATCTTGAATCCATTCCTGGAACTATCAGTGTAAAGTTTCTTGCTCAAGGTAACAATGATTTGCCAGTTACAAGGTTTCTATCTAGGTAGATAGCAACCCTGAGAGTACAAGTAAGACCTGTTGATCACTTAGCCATCCCCATGTGTGTTTGCCAAGGGTATTAAGATTTATGAGGTAACAACACATGTACATTTGCCAAAGTTATAAACATGTACAAGTGAAATATGTGCCAGTAGCGTAACTAGCACATGAAAATATGTGCCAGTAGCATAACTAACACATGTAAATATGTACCAGAAATGTAACTAACACATGTAAATATGTGCCAGTAGTGTAACTTACACACAATAATATGCGCCAGTAATGTAACTAACACATGTAAATATTGTCCTTATTTGAAAAGCTAAATTGTAATAAACTTTTTTGTACAAGGACTATGAGGAATAAAGCAAAAACAGACATTTGGCACATCAACAACTACCCTAAGGCAGCCGCAAGCTTTGCAAGAAAAAAAGCCAGGTAGTATTTAAAATAAATTTGCCAATATTGAAGAAAATTGATGAATACAACAAATAAGAACATTTGCCAATAATGTCCTGAAAAGAATAAGTCTTCATTTACAAGGACAAATCAGATCTTTTAGGGAACTTGCACACATATGAAAAGAAATACTGTTTGACAGTAAATTCACTATATCTATAGCTTTTTACTACAAGCATCTTAAAACTGTCACTCTTAGATGGTTCTGAAGGCTTGAAACTGGGTAAACATGTTTATAAACATGACTCTCTATATATTAAAGCTGTTAAGGTGTTTAGTTCACTACACATTTTTTCCTGGAAAAGGGATACTGCAAAATCATTATTATTCGTGAGGCACTAATTTTCGTGGTTTTTGTGGACAGGTCAATCCACGAAATTAAGATCCAACAAATTTCATTTCATCTGCTGTAAGATTACCTACTAGTATTTTGCATCACATTATTTAAATTTTACCACAAATTTAGGTTCTCACAAAAATGTTCTTTGTGACAAAACCACAAAATTTCATGCCCACGAAATTAAGTGAATTAACAGTATTAAGACTCCATAAAAGTCCTCTCAGAAAGCTGCGTGGGGAACTCTCAGCTTATACTGCACTCCAGATTCTGATGCTGATCGAGATTTAATGCCATTGCAAGTCCTCGTGCCATATATGACATTGTACCATATCTCCCACTAGGGGCTGTATCAAATAAATGCTGACATATACCCGCAGCTCCCTGTGAAGAGGCTACAACTTCCGGTGAGATTTTCTGAAAAAAAAAGAAGAGATAAACGTATTTCTCAAAATACTATTCATGGTGTTTTTAAGTCAAACAATCAATATTTTTTATATTTTTCTTCAAAAATCAACTGTCATTGTATACTTCTGACATTTCCTAACAAAACAAGTTACTTTTCTTTTTTTTTATTACTACTACTCACTAGTACATGTATTTAATTTCAAAATTTGCACATTTTTCCAGTAAATCAAACCAGTCTTTTTCACCAGTAAAGAAATAGTGCACAGCACCAACAGCCTTCTAGCATTAAATTTAATAAAAAATTCACTAATACATTTGTTAGTTTCCTGCTTCTTTTTAACAGAACAGAAACCCTATAATGTGCATGTTTTATCAATTCAAAGTGATTTTAAACTTAAAATCAAAAACACCAAATACCTGTTCTTGAATGAATATATCATTTGCATTAAATACAATTTTATCAATATGTATGACTTGACCACTCAGGTTGATACGACAGTCTCCGTCCACCAACATCGTGGTAACCATCAACGCCTCTACCATCATCTGTCGGAACTCTGGCTGTGGTATCATGTTTAACACGCGCTCCACTTGTAACGCAAACTTGAACTCCCCTGATGTCATCTGATTACAAAACAATTTAATAAATAATAATTTAACTAATGCTAACTCATCCATCATAAAGTAGAAAATTAGATTATTTTTTGTTTTTCACAAATATTATCAAGTTCCCTACATCCAATATTGTCCTCTATTCAAAAAAAAATTTTTTTGCTATAGTCTTATGAAATAACATTTTCGAGCTTGATTGTTACAAAATCTTTAAAGTTTATCTGAAGCACCCTCAAAACAATTTCTTGCAAGTGTCATAAACATGGCCGTGAGCCTTGCAAGGTTCAGAGCACCATTATACTATAAAATTTTCAGGTACCAAGAAGGCAATTAAAGCTCTATTGGCAGCATAAATAAGAAAGGTACAGTTGAAGTAGTATATACAAGTTATAAAGTGGTTAAGGCCTTAAATGTCAATTAAAACTCAAAATGAGATACAATTGTCAACAAAAAAATGATAATAACATGTTCAAATATTGTAGCATTTTCCATTGCAGAAACAGTAATTGTTGCCAGCAGAATGTAATAAACATAAATAATAATGATGATAATATTATCAACATTTTCATATATAATAATAATATAATTCAAAATACATTTAAAAGATAATATACATACTTCTCTTGTAAGACTGTGTGGCAAGAAATGATTTCCAATACTCAAACCATGACACTGTAAAACAAAGAATATTATATACATTTGTACATCAAAAAGGTTTTACTTGTTCATATTAACAAACTTAAGGTATCATATTTGAAAGTCAATCATTGTTTTTACTCTAATACAGGTTAGTACTTTGCAGTATTAAGGGTTTAAGGAACTCCACTGAGCCTGAGGTCCAAAAGGCTTAAAATATAAAATTTGAAATTCTTACATAGATAAGCTGGGGCACTTGTAGACAAAAAAATATGCAAAAGATAATTAAGAAATTTACTCTGAAATACATGTAAATTGAAAATAATATTTTTTTCTATTTTTTGCCTGATTTGAGTGAAAAAGCATTGTAATGCTTTTTTTTAATTTTTGGTTCAATTTCACTATAAGAAAAATTATTCTGGATATACAGAGTGAGTGAATGAGCACAAGTTATTGGTCTATACCTACATCAAATGTAACATAATCTCAAAAATCATTTCCAGTCCCATCATACTAAAAAAATCTAAGTGGAGTCCCTTTCTAATTCAACCAAATTTTTATGAAATCCTGAATCTATTATCAAACGATTGTATGCATAAATTTCACAAATGATAAAAATGCACTAAAAAATGAAGATTTAAAGAGAAGTTTTATGATTAAAGTAATAATTTACAAGTTATGTACATGTATAATTAATGACTGAATTTTCAGCATTTATCCCCATATTTCTACTGCTTGCCTAATGCAGTAAGGGCTATTTTTGCATATTTTGACCTCTTTTTGGTAATTTAGGTGGATTGTACAAGCTGTATGTAATGTGTTACATGTACTAACTTTCTTCGTTCACTACACAATATTTGACTTTTAAATAAAATTTCAAAATTTTCATAAAAATTAGCATAAATTCGGAGGCATGCTGCTTTAGGTGTGGCTTAATTCAACAATACCTAATAAAAACCTACCTTTTCTAATACTTTCCAGACTTGAGTATAGAAACCAACAGGTACTCTATTTAGTGCGCCATCAAGGCGCCTTCTTCGTAGCCACTGACCTTGTCTGTCCTCCATTTCTGACTCAAACATGTCACTCTTTCTGGAGGTTGTTCCGGGAGGTGTGAAGCTCACACCTGGTACCTTAAATTCACATTATTGTTTAAATATTTACTATGTTATTACACAACATATACTTGTAAACAACTAAAATAAGTTATTCATAGAAACTATACTGAAAAGTTCAGAAAACAGTGGCTAGTCTTTCTACAATGTTTTACATGTATTTCTTATTCAAATTTTTTGAATATTTCTTTGTAATGATTAAATGCACCTGGCATCAGACAAAATCAAATTCTGTAAAAAGATAAATTAAGTGAATAGAATAAACTGTTTTCCTAGTTTTTCCATACAGAAAATAATGTCAGCCTAAAAGACAAATTCTTTTTATCATCTACCCTAAACATATACCTTAGAGCCAACTTTAAAGTCCACTGGAAAAATTATTAAGAGTTACAGCTTAAGTATTATGAATATCAAAAGATGATATAAAAAAAAAATATAAACTATAAAAGCCCCCTTATTCCACTGTTTGTCAGGCCATGGGCAGACAGTGTGATAGCAGTAAAGATGGACAAATCTATATCCCCATAAAAAGATGCTGCTGTGTAGATCACATAGAGTCATGAACCACCCTGGCCTTTACTGAAGATTTGTAATTGGCATTCTCTCCTTTAGTCTTGTCTTTAGCAGGTAAAGTAATTCATACACAAGGAAACTATGATATTATTTACAACAAATGCATTAGATAACCTGAATTTCTATATGATAAACATTACTGTAAATTCACCATTCATAGATTTAATATTAAATCAGTCAATAAAGTAAATTTTTAAAAGAGATACCAAAATTCATCACTATCTAAATCTAAAGTCCAAACTGAGTTGATAACACAGTAAAATTAATTCTATTCCAGCTAAAACAGGTCAGGATTCAAAATTTGGCATCAAAGTTAGAACTCTCTCCACTGAGAGAAGACTTTGATATTACAATTTTTTCAGCAGACAATAGTCTAGTAAAGTCTCAACTTCTATAATGTGCTGGCTGACCTGACTTTATACTAGTGGTGACAATTTGCTAGTATCAACATGGGCTTTTAATTGGTGATTCTGCTAATCACTGAACATAATTATTCATTTAATTCCTCAGAAACATCTGTATAAAATATCATAATTTTAATGTCAAAATAAAAGGAAAATTATTCTTTCCATCTTAAACAGCATTAAAAGAAAAGAATATAGTTTTTATATTAAACTAGATCTACATAAAAACTGCTAGTTTTGAACAAGGGACATAACCACTCTGCAAGGGCAATCTTAAAATGTTATTAGTGGACTAATCTACTATTCTACAAGGTCTGGAGATGCGTACTTAGCCATAAATCTTACATTAAATCAAAAATATCGAAGAAATTCTATGAATAAAATTAAGTATCTTTTTTACTTTCAAATTAGACTAGAATGAAGTAAAATATTCTATACAAAAATATATAATTCTGAAATGATTATTGCCTTAACAACAAATTATATGTACTTATACACAAAACATATAATTATATAAAAATATTCTTTGCTACAAAAAGATTTTCTAATACATATGTTCAGAAATTTTCTCACTTTGTCAAATCAAAGCTGAAATATGTAACAATCAGCAAAAAGGCTTGGGACAATTGCAAATTTTGGGCAAAAGGTGCTCTTCTAAAAGCAGTAACAATGAACGTTTTTTTTTTTTTTGGTGTTTTTTTTTTTTTTCTGCACAACTCTTTGAAATAATCTTTAAGCTGATCTGCTCTATGAAACCAAGAAAGCAGAAACATTTTATCACTCCGAGAAGTCGAGGCCATGCCATACTTACTACAATGTGTGACGCCCTTCTCGAGGCTATACTGGGTGCGTGAACCGGGATCACCGACCCAACAGTCCTTACCTCAAGGTCTTCGTAAATAGAAAAAGAGGAATATTTTAATTATCGTGTTAATTTTCTTAATAAAAGAGAAAAAAGTAAACCAAAGTCTTGTTAGTTCTGTTGGATAAAACTTTCATGCAACATTAAATGAACTGGGTATACAAGTAGGTTAATCAGAACGGCATGGAAAAAACAAGATGAGCGACAATAAACAGAATGGAAAATAATGAAATTCATTCAAAAGGTTATTCAGATTCATAGGTATTTCCTATCTTTTTCATCTTTAAGCAACAATACAATTTTGAAAGCTTTTTTCTTTCTTTAAAATTACATATGTATATGGACACCCCCTACCCACCCAAACTCAGCCACTAAGTTCCCTAAAACTTAATCAATAAACCAATACCAAAATATTATAATATTTAATTCTTCTATTTCTTACGACATTAAACCAATTTCAACATTTTCGAAGGCTGTAATTTCAAAACAACGGATTGTAAACTCAAAAGTGTATTCCACTGCAGGTTTAAAAGACTTTATAATTTATGATGAAAACTATGAATAAGAACAAAAGTACAAAGATAAGTTACTGTACATAACTAACAAATTAATTAAATATGGTTAAAACATCGTCAGGAAGAAGTCAGGAAATTTATTAAGAAAACATACAAGTAAACAGAACATCACTTTCAACTAAAGAACAAACTCTTGAAAAATCTTTCTTTCCTGAAAATTAAAGTTGGCTCAATTGGGGTAAAATAAAAAAATTCACACATAAAGTAAAATAGATAAATAAGACGAAAAATAATAGTAGCATCAGCTTTGAAATACTCTTGTTAGTGTTTTAAGGCGTAAAAGCACCTTGGAGGGGGTCGACGTTTTACTCAGTCTCTCCGCAAATGCAGACGTCTCTTTTTTCGCGTGTTTCGTGACGACTGACAGCTTGTATTCATCATCGTAATCCGTTGTTACTAAAATTAGATCGCAACAGTAAAAACTTTAACATGCATGCTTAACACACGGGATATAAAAAACACAGTAACTCTTTTCTGCAAAAGTAATGAATTCAAATAAATGTAGCTTAAAAAATAACTGAGTTGATGCACAAGCATTTAAAATAAAAAAATATTTATAATTTTTGAAAGTTAAAAAAATGCTTGAGTTTGTTTTGACCACATTTCTTACAAAACTGCATATTAAATTATCAGTAAATTTGCAGAAAAGTAAACATTTTGGTAACTCAAGCTTTTGAACAAGCAAGCACTAAGCCTGAGTTACCTCCCTTACTTCAACAATTAAATTATCTCAATAGCTAATTAATTACCTCATGTAACTATATAAAGATTATGATGCCTATCTTAATATTAAGAAAAATGACAGGTAAAATGTTGGTCCCTTTCATTACATTTTATGGCTTATTCCACCATAAATGACTATTTCAATATTTTTTCTTTAATTCTTTTTCTTTTTATGTAAAACTTCTTGTTATGATTTTAAAGAACACATTAAAAACTATGTTGTAATTAATGGGTGAGTCAGAAATCTGAAAATTTGAAATTAAAAGTTAACTTGGAATAAAAACTTTCACATTTTAAAGATTGGGGGTTATCAAATCTTACAATGAATATTAAAATTAAGTGAACAAATTATTTTTCTTAGAAAGGAGATTAATATACATGTCTAGTTATTATCATAATACAGGAAGACTGATCAAAAGAAGCAGGTATTCTTTGTAAAAAGCAATTTCTGATTACACTTTTGTGAGAATTCTATTGTGAACTTTAAGATTCAAAGTCAAAGATCTTACAATTAGAGAATAGAGAAATGATTAAAGAACTGAAAATAATATTCTGTTTAACTAGTACAAAAAACTGGCAAACAGGCTTTCCAACAAATAGATCCATCCCTTAAACATTAAATACAATGAACTAACTTTATTTGGACTATAGTTTTAAACTTAACATAGGACCCTGCAAATGTATTATAGAAATGTTGCGACAAAAATATTGTTATATACCCATGTTCATAATACAAAATTTAATACTAGTTAAAGAATCTATTTGTCAGATAAACCAAAGATGTAATAAGGAGGTACAGATATTCATTTCTAAAAATTATATCTTAAAATTGACAGAATTAATGTTAAACCTGAGTCAAATTAGTCTGTCAATAAGAATTGATGCTAAACCAGTCAAATAACTCCTGAAATAATAAATGCTACATTATGTCTGTAACAAGACCTGTTGGTAGGGCAGTATGCTCGACTATTCCTATGGCCTGATAGTAAAACAAGAGCATAGCCTGATAGTAAAACAAGAGCCTGGATAATGTAGAATTTTTTAAGTTAAAAAAGGGGCAAAATTCTGTCAAAATCGATATTAGAGTTATGGGTCTTGAAAAGTGACCTCCTATAATGCTCTCAAATAAGTTTAGACTAATTCCTTTTCGTAGTATTGAAGATATCAACTTGCAAGCAAGAACATACCCAAAGTATGATGCTGACATGAGTACAATTATAAACTCTCCTTATTCTTTGAATAGTCAAACTAAAAACGTATACAGAAAAAAAGAAAGACCTAGGACTGAAATATGTGCTTAAAGTTTCTTTTATTAGTGATATTGTTACTGATGTTTGATATCACTGCCAGTGACAGCCTGGTATCGTGAGGTACAGAGTCCCATCAACATGTATAAATTCTGAGAAAATGAAGATAAGGTATCCACAAAGTGTCAAACTAAAGTTCCCGAAGCAAAGTGCTACCTCAATCTTATTATATAACCCCTTCCCTGCTAAAATGTGTGTTATGAACTAGTCCAGCTTTGAATTTGGAACTAGTCTGTCCATTGTGAATATGAGGTATTAGCAGTCAACAGTATACAGTGTCCAGTTATCAAAATATTTTGGTTTATACAGAATTTATTTTAGTTAGATTGTGTAGGAAGCTATAAGCTTATAGGCACACTTTCGAATCCGTTCCTGGAACCAACCAGTACTGAGTAATGAGTGTAAAGTTTCTTGCTCAAGGAAACAACGACTGGCCCCTGATGGGGTTTGAACCCATGCGGCTAGCGATCATTAGATTACTAGACTGACGCGTTAAGCACTCGGTCATGCTGCCACAAATAAAATCAAAATATTTTGCTAGCCTAACAATGATAAAATAGAATTTGGGACTGAGGGAATTGTGAACTGAAAGACTTATTTCAATATATAAGAGAATGGTAAGTCTGCAAGGGTGTCTCCGCTGACCAAGCTCTATACTGGTGGCATGGACAAGTCCATAATGTGCTGTCAAGCTGTACCAATTCCTCCTATACCACAGGAAATCATGAAAAATCCCATTTACACCACCTTCATAACAGACATACCTATACTTCTACTTAAAGAAAATAATTGTCAAACATACATACACTGAGAATTTTAAGTTTTATGATAATTGCCTTTTAAAAAATAATATAAAGAGCAGTTCGGTATTTGTTGTGTATCAAATATCCTCATTTAGACAATTCTAAGGGCTAATGACTTTTGTTTAAAGTTCTGTCTGCATATTGTCCAGTACTCATTTAACCCCCCCCCCCCTGTCCAAAGATTCAGACCACTTAATACAACTCTGCATCTAAAAACATATACTTGAGTTCTTGGGAGGGAGCTGAGAGCTTAAATGCGGGAATACGGTATATGCAATTTCTTCTTGTTCAATGTACAAGATAGAAATTAATAAAATTCAATATGAATGAAGTAGTGTAATTCAGAAAACTACACAATTTGGTTTGCTAAATTCTAAGCTGACTTAACTATTACAACAGCGTTAGTATGCATGTTTGAAAACTATTTGTCTTGTAACATACACAGATAAAAGGGCCTTACATGAGTTGACATTTCAAGCAGACTTACGCTAAACAAGTGTAAAAAAAAGTATCGGAAGTCGAAATGAAATAACAACAAATGCAAGATTCTTTTCATCACAATGACATTATGTTTAAAAGCCAGAAAATGCTGAAAAATGGCAAAAGCTTCCTTATGTTATAAAGAATTACGCAATAATTGTATTATACTGAATTCAAGCTATGTCATGTGATAAAAAGAAATGAGCCACGTCACTACAAAACCAACATAATGCGTTTGCGACCAGCATGGATCCAGATCAGCCTGCGCAGCCGCACAGTCTGATCAGGCTCCATGCTGTTCGCTTTCAGTTTCGGTACTTGTAATAGGGTTGGTAAGCGAACAGCATGGATCCTGAGCAGACTGTGTGGAAGCGCAGGCTGGTCTGGATCCATGCTGGTCGCAAACGCATAATGTTGGTCGTTACACGGCTCAGATGTTAAATTTTGAGACTAAATACCATGTAAGACCTGTACCTCCTTTCAAATAAAATAGGGGGAAAAAAGCTCAAATAAAATGCTCACATAATTCCAAAATGGTTTCTCTGTCTACATCCTCCCCTTTTAATTTTCATCATACAAACTTAATCAATTAATTTTAAACTTCAAAAGAGTAATCAGAAAGTAAAATTCAACACAATATTGATATACTGTAGAATCAGAAATTTTTGTTAAAGATTTAGTTTCTACATTTACGAATGAAATAAATGAATGAATACAAATCTAAAAGAATTAAGATGCATTCATTAAATATAAATGGCCTCATTCAAATTCTTTTCTTCAATAAAAATGTATGGTGAAATTTCCTTAATTAAAACTGAAAACAGAACTTTGAAGTTCCAAGGTATTGTATGAATCAAGATCATATCTTATTAAGTTACAAAGAAGATCCTTTCATAGGTCAGTTTTGCCAAAGTATGAAAATTCTAGCCATATATTATTTCTGAAATAGATTTATCTACAGGCAGTCAAGACAATAAACAATATGTCCCCAGCTCAATTGAGGCTGCTGGAAACGATGATGATTTTAGTGACATGTAGAAATAGAAATGTAATAGAAGACATTGACAAGCTCTTAGTAAATTCTTTCTTTTTGAATGCCTCTATATCTAATGCAAATTTTCTAAAAGCTACTATCTAATGTAAAATTTATCTATCTCTCTGAGTAAAAATATTACAACTAGTGTCTGCAAACAGACCTCTAATCTAAACTTCGATAATAACTTTTACATCATTTTACAGGTGAAATGGATTTGACAAGCTCAAAATTGAAGACTTTTTTCTTAAAGAGATTTCAAGATCAACAATTCTAAAATCCTGCAATATAGAGTCTAGTAAAAATTGCAGGGACGAGCTTTCTGGCATGACTAAACTAGGTATTTGCCTATACTTAATTATAATTATAGTAAAAGTTTCCCTACCTGTAGTAATCATGAACTCTTTGCCACTCAATATATGATGTAACATCATTTTAAGTTCATATGGGCTCAGGTTCAGAAGATGATCACTGGCCTCTTCTCCTAAACAAAACATAAAACAAGACAATCTGTGAAGTTAGATTAAAACACAAACATATTTATCTAATTGGAACAGTCCTAGATTTAAGCTGAACATAAAAAAAAAAATCCAAACCCCCCACCCCCCCAACATTTGAAATAGCAGTTATCTGTTATCATTACGAGTTTATATCATAGACTTTTTCTTCTTAGAACTAAAACTGCTCAAAGTTAATGTCAGGACTTTTGAAATTTTACAATAGAGCTGTGAATTTTATATAAAGTGTAGTTAATATATATACAGACAGGCTTGGCTCTAAACTGCTGTCATACGAAAGTTATTACTGTTATTAATTCTAGTTGGGCTGGCCAACCAAAATTACTAATCAGTCTTTTGGACGAGACTTTAAATCGAGGCCCTGTGTATAGGTGCTTAAACAATAGGCATGCTAAAGAACCATAGAAGCTTCTGGAATTCGGGCATCTTTCTGTATCTGTGTCTTGCACTATCCTCCAAAATCTAAAATGACTAATACTCTTTTGGAGGACTCGGTCATATGGGCAACCAGTGGTGAGTAAAAATAGACTCATATACACACACAATGAATGCAATAAATATCAAATCAACAGTTTAGTTTGGAAAGACTTCAATGATGTCGTAACATACCTGTACATTTAAAGAGACGCGCCAACTCTGTAGCCATCACTTGTATGATTAGACCAACTCTTAATCGTAACATTTCATTGAAAAGTTTTGGCTCTGTTCTGATAAACATGGCTAAGTATATCAACAGCTCCTGAAATAATTAAATACAGATTTTAAGTTACCAGTAGGTTATCAGATTCTCTTAATAAATAGTTATATTTCATTTACACTTTCAATATTTTGCTTTTTCTCTCAAAGATGTCAAGATTAAAAAAAAAATATTTTACCATTCATGGCATGTAAAAAAAGACAGTAAAAAGCTTTAAGCATACAGTATATTTTATGTTTGTTTGATATTAAGCAAGTTGACTTTAAGCCATAAACATTAATTTGGTAATACACCAGAATGCACTTGTTTTACAAGAGTTTATGGAATACATTTTCACTGTTTAAATTACACACTTGATCAAATGGCTTTCTACAACCAAATCATTCTGAGATCCCAATGTAGAGACTCGGGTCTGAACAAGATCACTTACAATCTCTGTTGAGATAACCATGTAGGTGTAATATAAATAGATTTTAGATCTGCAGTACAGTTATATTATTAGAATTATTTATAAAACTATCAATACCTGAGTAAGAGAAGCTGTGCTGAGATCTTCCCCACATACACTGTATATAATGGTGGCAAGCTCATCTGGTGGTAATGGACTGAAAATAGTAATATATTATTAATTGTATATTAACATAATTATTATATTATAATATAAGTTTGTTAATTTGTCTGATTTTACTCTCAATTTAACTTATTTTTGGTCATATCTTGGTGGTGAGTTCATCTAATCAGCTTTCCTAGATATCTAACCATGAATAACCAAATTCTCTGCAAGAGACAAGAGTTTTATTCTGACACGATTTCTGAAACATCATTGAGAGATATATGACCATCAGAAACGAATATAAGTTGTAAGGCTATTTGACAGGTTATATGGTTCAGTGTAAAAGGTTATATAACCCAAGCTGTATGGTAAGGGCTTTAGGACAAAACAACCTTTCTATATACAGTCCGACCCCGGTTATTCGACAACCCTTTATTCGAATACCCGGCGTTATCCGAAGTAGATCGGCGGTCCCGTTTTTGTCTCTATATAAAACAATATAAATACCAGCGTATTATTCGAAATGCATTATCCGAATACCTCCTATTTTTCGAAGTAAAATTGCGGTCCCGATTATATAATTATGAAAGAATTTCACGCCTATTATTCGAAGCCAGCATAATTATTATTCGTAGCCAGACTAATTGGCGCAGATCCACTCGCTGACCAGTCGACTTGTGAAAAATATCCACAGTCATGCGTGTAATTAGACAATCATGATAATAACTCTTTGTGTGTTCTTTAATTACCGAAAATGAAAAGCTATGCACCGTGTCCGATTTTGTTACTGTAATTGCTAGAAGATGACAGCAATAATTCTATACATTCCGTATTATGTGAATTTGTCAAAACATCCAAAACAATTTTTTCATTAATTGTAACGCTACATGAGAGCCTTTATCCTAATCGAAAATACCAGAGTTTAGCTGTAAATACCGTAGTGACAACACGGCCATTATCAAGGTTTTGTGTTGTAAACGGTAGTTTTGCGATGATTGGTCAAAGTAGAGTAGTTTTCGTCTATCACAAGATTCCGATTTCGATTATTCGAAGTAAATATTCAGTCCCAGGCACTTCGAATAAACGGGGTTGGACTGTATATGGCAATATAACCTGTCAAAAGTCATTATACCAAATTTATGATACAACACAAGTCATTTGAGAAGAAAAATGAAAATACAAACAGTTTAATAAATCTATAGCAACAGTGTATATGGTTAATATAAACATCATAATTATCCCAAGAAAATTGATATTACAAAATTAATGTGCATTATTAAAAGAATAAATATTTCGCAGTGTTGTTAAAATAAGCACAGAAGCAATTTTTTTCCATGCCTATTTTTTTTTCTTATAAAGAAAAAACATTTATGAAATTATAAGACCAAAGAAAGTCAGATAAACAATGCATATTTTCATATCATCATATACCTGGTAATAGTTTTCTCGCTATCAGGGGGTAGCCCAACAGAGAGCTGTTTCTGACGCACAAGTAAATCAGTGGCTGCTAGGGCCAGGTCTTCAACCCGTTTCTTTAACATACCAGCTGCGTGCCTCACTAGCCACCATTGCTTGAAATGTCCGGCCTAGAAAATAATTAAACAAGTAAAGTGACATCTTATTGGCAAATTATCACTGAAATCAAACGTGGACTGATAAAAAAAAATCTTGTTTCATTTGTAGCCTTGACATATACAAGTTTATTCTAAGTAAAAATTTAATTGTGTATGAAAAGTTTGTTCCAATTTTAAGAAATCAAGAGATTTTGCTGATTAACCTGTCATTTGAAATGATTGAAAACTGTTTTTTTGTTTGATTGGATTTATGTTGCATCAGTACAGCATAGCTCATATGGCAACTTTCAAGCTTTGATGGTGGAGAAAGACCTAAGGTGCCCATTTGTGCATTATTTTAGGCACCTGAGTAGAACCGATGATGTATCGTAAGCTGACAGGATAGCATTATTACATGTAGAATAAGACAATGCTTGGGTGACTTGGACAGAGGTGGTCTATAAACCCAGCTTTGACTGTTATGACAACAATGTCCAGTTTACATACCTTTTCATACAGTTCCAATAACAGTTCTCCTACTGTACAATATTTCCCATCAACTTCTGTATCCCAATCTGTACCTCTGAAATGAACATATCATACATCGTAAAGGAAATTCATTATGAAGTTTAACCTCAAGAATACACGAAAACCACAGTTAGTTCACAGTGTTCTGCCATTAAAAATAAAATACAAAAAAATATCATTCTGTATTTTTGCATTAACTTCTTATTCCATTTATCACAAAATGTTAACCTACATTATTTCTAATACATAAAATGTAGCACTTACTTTTTCATGTACAGATAATGAATAATATCAGCCTGTTCCTGGAGATTTTCTGACTGTGCCAGCTGCTCCACTAACTCATGGGCATTCACACTCTCATAGTTGTTTTCCTGTGTAAAAGCATGTTTTTCACTGAATGCCCATTTCTTTCTCTGTAACTTGGGGGAACCCTGTGGGCTTGCTTTCGGGCTCGGCACCGGACTAGGTGCAGGAGACGCCCAGGGTGATGCATCTTTTAAATGATGGTGGGAGGATTCTGTAGAAGATAATATTGACAATTAAGTTAGTTATAATGTATAACATCTATATATAATCATATAATTTTCACAAGAAAATTATGTCTATTTTTAGAACAAACATTTTTTAAATTTTAGAAGAAAAGTCTTAACTGATCAATGCAACATTAGTTTTCAAGTTCTTATTAAATTATACCATAAAGAGGAAAATTGTTTTATTCCCATCGGTTTTGCTCTGTTTCAAAAAAGTTTTAACTTTCGCTAAAACATGGTACAAGCAAGAGCATTAGTGCTTGGACGAACAAGAGTGTATATTTTATGTATTGAAACATTGACCTCTGAGTGTGACCTTGAACTTGTGATGTGATTAAATGACTAGATATTAAAATGACTAGATATTAACTTTTTACAGCTAAATTCTTTTAAACCTGGCTTCATGAATATTAGCTTATGTTGATTTAATTCTGCAGCTTAAAACCATCCATGCCAGTATTTTTTTTCCTTTCAAGTTTTATTTTCTTTACTTTTTACATGAACACACAATAGTAACACAACGGCTGATTGATTTCTGCCAAGTAACATCAGTGATCACTTCACAAACAAACAAAAACAACTGTACCAATTTTACAGCTTTTGGAAAATCCAATGCAAAACTACTTGAACATAGTCATTCTGAAACATTGCTATTTCCACACTCTGCCGATTTCCTTAACCCTTTACCACATATAGACATGTTTTGACGGCTTTTCGTCCAACCCCCCCCCTTTTTGAAGCCTCAAACAGTGAAAAAATGCCCTATTTAGGTATTAAACACTTTTTTTCATTTGACAAATGTTGATAAAAAAGTGATCACTTTTTCAGCGCCACCCCTTTATCAAAAAGGTACATCAAGGGGTTGCCAGAAGGGGATGTTTGATCCCCCAAAATTTTTTTGACATGTGAAAGGCTAAAAATGGCCTCAGGTTGATCGTAAGGTAACGTGTAACCAAAGCTGAAAATCCTTTTACTCTATCTCAATTCATTGGGAAGTTGCAGCACTTTGCAATCAGTTTTGATGGAAAAAAAAAATAATGCAAAATAGTGATTTTTGGCAATTTTGAGACGTCCCCCATTGCCATGGTAATGGGAAATTTAAGATTGAGCATGTTGTTACAAAGGCTATGGTCCAATCAACATTTGTGCCGAGTTTCATCAGTATCAAGCATTTTTCATAGTTTCATAGCAGTTTGAACTTGTAACAGGGGGCGTTTCAATCAAAACGGCCATTTTTCAAACTATGCTCATGAAGGAAAGTGTTAAAGCCATCTGGTGAGCGCCCATGTAATCAAGTTTGTTTGTTCTTGAACAGAGTAAAATATTTACCTTCTGGGTGTTCTGAGCCAGGTAATGGGCGGTCTTCTGAAATAAACAATGCAATATGTTTGTTACACATCAGTTTTATATGCAATGATAATATAAATGTATAATTTACTTATTATTAAGAAAGTGTTATATTCATTTGTATAATTCATTTTTTCATAGGCACACATTAAGTAAAAATCTGTGATATATGGGTTACTTATAAATAAAAATATATTACTGTACATTACTTTGATTTTAAATCTATATAAAAATTAAATATTATGATATACATCGATTATTTAAGAAAATTATCATATTATATTGACTCATAGTAAAACTATATTCAATTAGTTTGCAAGACAATTATTCTAAAAATTAAGAACCACTCTCAAGTCATTTTCACAAACACAATACACAGCAAAAAACAACTTTAATATCAAAATAAAGGATAAAACTCAAAGCATGATGAAATGTTGCAATAAAGTATGTTTAATGAAGGAATGATGAATAAAGTAAAATGACCCTACCTTTTTTTAACAATAAAAGAACTAAAATTTCTATTTAGATTTTTGTCATTTAAAATTTTCTAGTATGGTAAATTTCAACCATTTTCCTATTAATGCAATAATAATATAAAGGAAGAACAAAATTTAATGTCAACAATAGTTCAATTTTTTCAGGCGCTTTAAAATGTTACAACAATTAAAAAAATTTTGTTCTGAAAACTTCAATGTCAACAAAATTGCCAATCAATGCTATGATGGACATTTACTTAAACATTTGGCCAGACGCAAAACGCAGTAGACCTCTTATCTCCACTTAAGGACTGTTAATACATCATGTAAATCTTCCTTGATCCGCAAGATGTCAAATCAAACATTTATTTGTTAGTAGAATATAATGTTGCATGTTCTGATTATAATTATGTAGATTTATAATGATGATATGATCATCAAAGAAATTCAAACAAATAATTAAAAAATCATTTTCCTTATGTAATCCTGGGGTATAAACAAACTTTTATGGTCACAATGTGATAAATAAGAGTGTAGGACAATAGCCCCCCCCTGGACAAAGCCCCCCCCCCCCCCATTTAAAAATGACAAGGTGGACAAAAGCCTCCCCATGAAATTTACACATAGGACAAAAGCCCCCCCCCCCTCAAAAATACAGGTAGGACAAAAGCCCCCCCCCCCATTCCATCAAACATTTGTCCTACCTGTATTTTTGATGGGGGGCTTTTGTCCTATGTGTAAATTTCATGGAGGGGCTTTTGTCCACCTTGTTATTTTTAGATGGGGGGGGGGGGGGGCTTTTTGTCCGTATCCTGATAAATACATCAATATTAAGTGTAACAGGTTGATCATTTTATTGTGAATAGTAGTAAGTAAGTAAGTAACAACTTTATTTAATGAGGCTAGCACATTCGGTTTCCTGATCTTCCATGTGGGCCTCAGCATATTCATGCTCCATGAAATTGTATAAATGGTAAAGTTTGTTTGTACCCCAGGACTACATGGACAAAACCCCACATTTGCCCAGTTCGGGATTACATTTATAGTTGAGAACGTAACGCCACATTTCAAACAGCTCATACAATTAAATTCATTGAATAACAATGATACATTAGGAAACACATAAACATATAATAAAAAAGTAATACACAGTAAAATACAAGAGCATATATATCAGAAGCACGTTAATCAAGACATATTTACAGACATGAAACTCCAGATTTCTCAACTTCTTCCAAAACTGGCAAACATTCTTCATTTAAATATACACAACTATATGCTATTCTTAACACCTGTAAACAAATATTTTTTGCATCTTCCTAAACAATCAGTTTCCACTATCTATCATAAAAGATATTCATACATAAGATTTGTCGTGAAACAAATATTCCCTCATGAAACAAATAATCCCTCGCAGGAAACTTATAGTCTTCCGTCAAAAATATAAAAACCCTAGCTATTTCAAAGTAAACATTTTGAGGAGAGAAAAAAGAGCTCCGCATCAAGATAGACAATTGCTTTGAAATTGCTTTAAACAGTTCACCTTAAAACACTGTCAATTTCATAAGCTATGAAACCCAGACTATTGTGTATATTAGAAAAAACAAAATGCAATATTATAAAGGTAACAAGAAAATACTGGAGTGGACAACTGAATAACAACTTTGTTTTGTTATAATTTCACAAATACATGAAGTTATGAGTCAGTTTGACAATTTGTGACAGGACAATGGTACACAGAAAGTATTAATGTCAAGTGATGAAAAAATCCCAAACAAGAATTTACTGCAAAACGAGACAGGAAAATTACTGCAAAAAGACCCCTAGAAATCCCAGAGGTGGCAACCATACAAAGTAATATCAAGTCCCAAAATAACATGCACAAAATCATGCCGTACTGATTTTACCTCCTCCATCAAAACTTAGAAAAACTTCATCTGAATATAACAAGTGTAAAAGTGCAAATGGGCAATAAAATAAAGTATTGTTTTGTAAACGAGACACAAAAATCCATTTTTCAGGATTTAGTCTTGTGGTGACATCTTTGTGCCAAAAAAATACCCCAAAATCAAACCAACAAAAACAACACACATTCAGATCCAAAGATTTTAAAAGCAAACTTGTTAAATCTGTCACTAATTTTTACAGGCTATGTCAAATGCCAGGTTGGCAGTTCTGCCTGGAATAATACTTTTACAAGTCAAAACCTTTTGATTAGCCTTGTAACACATAGTAAAAACAGATTCAAAGTGTGGCAGCAAACAAATATCATAAGATATATAACAAGTATCTTACATTGGTAAATAGAGAAAGCAAATCCTAACAATTTACTTCACAGAAAGGCTTTTATCATGTCATTACATTGACGTCTCACAGTGCATGCCTGATAAGCCTTGCCTAATAAATTTTGTAATATCAGACACTAGCAACATATTCTATATAAGCTGTCAATGGAATTGGAAGCACTTCCACTTTGACATCATCATTCCAGTATTTGAGCCGCGTCATGACAAAACCAACATAGTGGGTTTGCGACCAGCATGGATCCAGACCAGCCTGCGCATCCGCGCAGTCTGGTCAGGATCCATGCTGTTCGCTATCAGTTTCTCTACTTGTAATAGAGTGGTTAAGCGAACAGCATGGATCCTGATCAGACTGCGCGGATGCGCAGGCTGGTCTGGATCCATGCTGGTCGCAAACCCACTTTGTTGGTTTTGTCATGACAGGGCTCATTTATAGTGATAAGTCCACAATGTACACATAGGTAACCCAAATTCATCTTCGTTGTTGGAAACATTTTCACATATGTATTATGTAAATAATCACTGAACAAGACATGTACAAAAATAAAGACATGGTGATAAAAATGTTAGTTTGGAAGCCTATAATTCCGTGTATAAAAGGTGGTTTGTTTCTAAGAACTATCTACATGTATAAATGTGCTGGAACAGGGATTAGCTCTAAAACCTGTTTGAACAATTGATATTTTTACTTCCTGTTTACAAATAATCAAACTGGAAATAAGTTTTCAATAATACAATGGGTATTCAGGAAAATACAAGACTTAGTTAGTATGAAAGTTTAAGTTTGTACTGTCTTTACACAATCTGCTTTCTGTTTAAGTATTTGAAATATTAGTTACTGAGAAGTCGACAGAAAAAATAAAATGAAAGTTAAAACACTGACAATGTTTACATTATTTTCCCATGAGTTACTCCCCTTTATAAATACTACACCATTTACACTAAATTGTAATCAAAGAGAGACAGTATCAATTAATCTTAATCCAATGGATCTAAATTGCTTTTAATAAGGTCATAAAACTTTTTTTTCCTAACTTTTCGGAAGTTGACAGGAAGATAATTCTAGTGGAGTTTCATGATTTTTGTAAAAACGGCATTGTATTTAGATGGTGTTACAATGAATTAAACTTTTACTTCAACTTCACTTTTTAACAGTCAATAGATTGTTTTTAAGTTGGCAGTGTCTCTATAAATATTGTCAGGCATTTTGTTTTTTTAGTAAACACAATTAATGTAAGAAGTTGCCTGGAAGTTTTTTTTATTTACAGCTAATAGCTTTACAAACATGTTAAAAGTTACAGCATGTTATAGAAGTGTAAAAAGCAACAAAAACCTTGATTTTTTCCTATCTTTAAGTTACACTGTTTTATAATAATAAATATCATCTAAATTAATGAAAAAATTGTTATTTTAACTTTTCAAGTACATGTACATATAATATAGTTTTACATATCTATACAAACGAATGTACAAACATATAAATGAGTTTTCATATTCATAAAAAAATATTTTGCCAATTTCTGAAAGTGATATAAATTATAATTGCAAGCAATAAATTGAATCTACAAATATTCAGACAAAAAAATTCTAGCTTGCAATATGCTAAAAAAAACTTTTAAATATGCAATAGAAAAAAGACACAGACATAAATTATATAAATGTGTATTGTAAATATTTGCAGCTACGCATAGAAATAATCAAAGCGGAAAACATCTACAAAATTTCCCCTAGTCATCCAAAGCTAGTTTAAGTTTCAAATCATACATACGCCCAAAGATCACTGCCATCCGTTTGGAATGCTTTATTTTTTCTGCATTTTACATGGTATAATAAGTATATGTATATAAAGTATAGAAATCTATAATGAAACTTTGTAGAAAGAAATATGAAACATAATTCAATACACAACTTATATATAATAAAATAAAAGAACAAGTGAGTATATAAAAGGGCACAAAAGTAACTTTTTCTTCTTTTCTGAGAGATCATTATACAAAAAAAGTTTAATTTGATTCAATGATTACTTTTCCGACATCAATATCATTTCACTTCTAGCTTAACTTTACATTAAAGAGGTATAGAGCTCCTTATTCTATTTCAAGACTACAAACAAAACATAACAGAATCAAATTTACCCTTTCCACACTTAAGTCTTAAACCTATTTGTCCGTATTTCAATTAGGCAAAATCATTTATCATTTCTTAAGGAAAAATTTAAATTTTTGTACTGACAACAGTGCAGACCAATATCAGTCTCAGATGTGCAAGTTGATCTTGGTCTGCACTAGTCACATGGGTGGAATCCGGCAGGCTAAAAGTTAAACATATTTTCTGTAAAACTCATAAAAACCTATGTTAGTTATCAAAAGTAATGGGAGCCTGTTTGATACATTGTACTGAGTTAAGTGAAATGTGTTTAACAAGATGAATTAAATGCATGATATGATGATAAAACAGAACAAAATTGATACAAGATGACCTTAATGGCCTTCTATCGCTCTACCTATCCAAAGCAGCCTAGTTCAACATTAAAGGGACTTTTTCTTCTAAAAATCGGGAAGTGACCATTATTTAATTAAGGGATTATCATGTCAAAATACACAATATGGGTCATTTGACTACTTTCCAGCTTTAGAAGACTTCAGGTGCATTATTTCAGGCATGAATGTACAACCTGGAAGTCGGGATTTGAAGCCGCAGTGGTGAGGGGCAAGTGTTTTGAAGTCAATGACCTAAACCATTCTGACACGAACACACAGGATTTCTTTCCAGACATTGTGGATACAAAAAGTTAAACGGACAGAGGGGATCCAAATGACTCATCATAAGCAATTTTGTGCTCATGAGAGTAAATAAGCCAAGATGCTTGACTAACATCTATTTTCTGTGTAGAAAACATATAGGATAAAACGCAAAATGGTTCTATAAACAGAAAGTTAAAGCAAAAAAACACACATTTAATCTGTGTATTAACTAAGAACAGCAGTAAATATTTAGGATCAAAAGACTTTTCTTTTTGTCAGTAAAGGTGAAAGCAGAAAAAAAATACTTATGAAAATTTTCTTATATCTATGGTATCTTGAATTTACCTCTCTATTCTCAGTACTGGTAAAGTATTTTCTTTTTGTTTTTCAATTTCAAAATCTACTTTATTCAGAGAGGTAAAGTACATGTATCAGATATTTTATCAACATTAAAATGTAACTATTTGTAGGAAATATTTATTACTTAATACATGTACACAGTGAACGATTTTTCTACAATATAAATTCTCATTTCTAAATGTTTAATATTATTGAATCCTCTGAAATGCTGAAATATAATGAAGATTCATACTTGTATACAAGTGTAACTATATATAATTAAAGAGATATTTAACAGTCTGTATAGGCTACAAGGAGTATAATATGTATATAATAAAAGTGCCATGCTAAAAGGCTTTTGAACCTAAATTACGATATAAATCGCCATATTGCCTACAACCTATTATAATGTATACACCAAACTGTCATGTTGAAGATGTTAGAAAAATACACAAGAAAAATACTGCTTTCACATTACCATTTTCAATAAGTAAAATGTGGAAGGAACTCCACTGAGGCACAAAAGCCTAAGAAAACAAAATTTGAATTCCTTACATAGATAAGTTGGGTCACTTAAAACAGAAAATCAAAAGATCATTAATTTTAGAAACATACTCGAAAAAAACGAAAAAATCGTATTTTTGTGCTATTCTTAGCCCAACTTATGTGAAAAGGATTGCCAACTTTTGTCATTTTTCACAATTAGAATATTTATTCTGAATATGGAGTGAACGAATGATCTGAAGTTCTGCACAAACATTGGTCTAGACCTACATCAAATCGAACATTAATCTTGAAAAAATATTTCGTCCCTTCATGTCAAAAAACCTCAGTGGAGTCCCTGAAATAAAAGGGCTTTTGTGAACTTGCTTCATCAAGCGCAGAAATGAGCGCAGAAATGATTGACTCTAACAACATATTGCCGGCATCTTTCAAATTTGTTAAACAAGTCCTTTATATATATATGTGTGTTTTTTTTTTTTACACACTTTAAATAATGATTATTACACAGTCCTCACAATGTGCATTATATGAATAATATCGCATCTATCAGCCATGTTGAATTATTCAGTACACAACATAATTGTGTGTGTGCATCAATGTAAAAGCAGTAGATTTTCACTATATAAAGCAGGTGAAAAATTACACATACTTTACTGTCAGAGATGCAAACTATCAAACTTAATTTATTTCCGATATCAATTTATGGAAGCCAATACTGCCTTTCCAATGGCAGAATTAATGCCATGATAATCATTATTCATTTTCAAATAACGGTATTTTGTAAATACATTTTACAAGTAGATCTACATGTATTATGTTTCAATAAGAATTGTCATTCATATCTTACATACAAAATTGTGAGCTTGGCCAATAACAGAAATTCAGGCACTTTTTCACACTTGAAGCCAAATCTCAAAATTTTGTTTCAGATATATAACTTCAAAACTAATTATTTAAACATTGATCTTTAAAAAGGTGTTGCGTTGTTTGGTGTGTATTTTTTTCTAGATGTATAATTTTTGTAAAAGACTCAATGTTCCCATTCATTGACAAATTGCATCTCTGTTTGTATAAAGTAAAATATCACCTCACAATAGAAAAAGTAGGATGGAATATTAGCAAGATGTTAAGAGTTAAATAAAAAGGTACATGAATTCCTGTCCGTTAGAGGCAAGACGTACCTGGACTTGTTGGAGACGGGGCAATGTGAATCCCACGTTGCCTTAACTGAGCATGTATAGCTCAAGAAAGAAAAACAAACATAGAGCCAGCGAAATAAAAACATATACAATAAAAACATAAACACGATACATGTATACAAGTTAGGTAGAGCTGCTAAGAAACTTGTAAGTATTTTGGTCAAAGACAGTTTCTGTAAAATTTTAGTCTCTGTTTCAATCAAATGATATACAAAAATCTGTGTATCAGCTAAAATCTTCTTTAATTTTTTTTATAGTTGTAGCTGGTATTCAAATGACTAAAAATATGGAAAAAAACATAAATTTTATTCAATATTAGATTCTACATTAAACATTACATGTACTCTCAAATTCCGCAAAAAGAATTTATCTGACATACAGATATTTACCAGTTACCTTCTTGTTTATTATAATTTTTTCATAATCAAAATATATATGAAATTTTATCCCTGGGTTAAATACATGACTTTGTAAGCAATTTATTACTTAAAACATAAAATTAAGTTATGGCAGAGCCCGATTAATTTGGCCTTGCTATCATAATATTCACATAACTTCATTTTTTTATAAAATTTTCTGCAAAAGTAGTTCTTAATTCCCTCCAACATAAAAGTCCTTATCATTTTTTGGTATTTGTTTTTTGTTGTTTTTTTAGAGTAAAAAAGACCCAGTGATTTTGCTGGATTAATGTAAAACAAATTATTTTGAGGGTATAATGTAAAACAGTTGCTAATGAGAGTATAATGTATAACAGTTGATTTTGAGGGTATAATGTAAAACAGTTGCTTTTGAGGAAAACAGTTGATTTTGAGGGTATAATGTAAAACAATTGTTTTTGAGGGTATAATGTAAAACAGTTGACTTTGAGGGTATAAAGTAAAACAATTGTAAATGAAGTATAAATACAAGAGTTTCCTACTAAACCCTACAGGGAGGTTGTGTACAAAGGGAGAACATAATTATAAAAGCCCAACAATTACATATATTATATAGACCCCACTCACTACTACCATAACTTTCATTTACAAGGATTCAATTCACCACATTTTAATTCCAAATTCACTCTCAAAAGAATATCAATTATTTAATTAACCATAAATTAATTTATTCAGTACAATATTATATGTATTAACAAAGGTAAGGAAAGCCATAAATATGCATATAATAACAAATATACAATATTAATGAGTATTATTGACAATAATTATATATGGCTCAAATTTATTAACATTTCGCCAATATTGCCAGTTAAAAAAGGGATTTTGCTGGCGGGTTAAAGGGTTATGTGCAAATAATATTAAGTTAATAAACCTGCCATTATTTTGCATAAAAATTCAGATTTTACAACAAACCAAATTCATTTGTTCGCAAGACTCAGGCATATATTCACTGTACTTTCTTTTATTACAAATCATACTGACTCTTGTTAGTATTTAACTCTTTCTTTTCAAACATTTAAATCAGTACCAAAATATTAAATAATTCTTATTCAAATTTTTGTTAAATTATCTTTTAAATAAAAAGGGTCTTGGTTATAGAAGATACTTTGATCTTTGAACAAACGTGCAGCAGTTGCCAGGCAAAAGCAATAAGATTTTCAGTCATATTTTCCCGTAAAATGTTTGTGTTATAATCTTAACCATACCTGTCTGTCGAAGAGCTAAATATCATTAATATTAATTAGTCTCAGGTTATGAATATTAATGAATATGCAATCCTTTATGGTAATGTATGCAAATACAATGATTATAAAAGTTATTAAATTTTTATCAGCTATAACTTTCCAACAATTAATAGCCATACAGAATTATCATGGGGCTTCCTTTATAATTAATATACACAATAACTTATAATTCAAATATGCAAAGTACATATTTAAATACCATATATGCAAATTAATGATATCAATATGCAAATTAATGATATCAATATGCAAATTCAATTTAAAATATGCAAATGCATGGATTATCTGGAGACAATATAATGTATGTTTTTTTCTCTCTCTCAATTATTTACACAAGTTTATAATAAGAAAACATGTCCTTATTTCTAATATACAAATAATTCCAGACATGAACACCGACACAGACGTACATGGGTATGCAAATGAACTGACTGCAAATTATATAACATAAAAAAAACAAGAAAGTTTAGAGTATACTTTAAATAAAAATTCTACAAAGTCATGCTTACAAATATATTAATTTGTTAGATAATAATTATATTATACTCATATTTTAACCAGATAATATCTATAAATTACTATAACTGAAGATAAACATAAAATGTTAAAATATTGGAAAGTATAGGAAAAGAATTCAATCAACAATAAATGAAAAATACAGTAAAATTATAACAAATTAAATGCTATTCATTTACTTAAATGAAAATAATAACAAATACTGACGAAACAAAAACTTCATCACATTAAAATGGATTTTTTTTGTTGAAAACTTTAAAAATTAAATTCACTTTCTGAATTTTTAAAATTTAATAGATTAAACTGGCCATTTTAATGTGAAGAATGAAAATTAAACTACAAACATAAAGAAGTCCCAAGACCCTTAGCAACAGTCTATTCATTCTATATATAAACATAAAGTAGTCCAAAGATCCCGAGGCAGAAGGTTTATTTTGTTCTATATTTAGAAACAAAGTCATAAAATGTTGTCTTACCTTGAACGTCAACAGCATCTACATTTATAGACCTTGACCGTCGTACGATTCCCCTAACGGAACTATGTCTGTATGAACGGCTTGCCTTCTTGCCGAAACTGAGTAATCTTTGTCGCGGTGATGACCTCTTTAATACATCACTCAACAACTTCATCAGCTGTGTGTCAACTGTATGAAAAAAAAAGTTCTTTAATTTGTGTCACAGGGTGAGAAAGATCTGCAGTCTGACCGGGACTTGAACAAGTGACCCTCGGAATACCGTTCTGCTGATCTTCTGACTTAGCTATTCGGCCACTTAAACATCTTTTTTCCCAAATAGTGAACAGTTCTGAACCGTGACAATTTGTACACTTGAAATGAATGAAAAAACAAAATAATAAGATACTTAAAGTGTAATGCTAAACTATTTTTTTAACCGAGTACTCTCCTCCTCATGTTTTAAGGAGGTAAAATGTTATGCTATACATAGAACAAGATTAAATGATCGACTTATATCTGTTTTTCCATATCCTTAATGACAACAATGAAGAAAACAAGAGCTGTCACAGGAGACAGCGAAGCCAACTAATAAAATACTGGACGCAGTAAGGAGGACAAAACTATGAAAGAAAAATCAATTATGTATAATTATGTATTAAGTTATAGTAAAAAAATAACATTTGTTAACATTAATTCCAAGGTCAAGGGGAATAATTCTAGATAGAAATAGTCATGCTAGAGTAATGGACCTTGTCACACAACATTTGTGTAATGATAAGAAATATATATTTGAAGTTTGAAGTAGATACCTTAAAAAGTAAAGAAGTTATTATATTTCTTAAAGAAAATCCTAAGTTCAAAGAGAGATAAATCTGTAAATATTGCTTCAAGAGTTATGAACATTGTCACATAAAATGTAATTGATGATAAGGAATAAGTATTTGAAGTTTGAAGTAGATACCTTTAAAAATAAAAATAATATAATAAAAAATAACATTTTTCTAGTAAAAAAATCTAAGTTTATGGGGAGATAATTCTTGCAATATTGGTGCTAGAGTTATGAACCTTGTCACATAAGATGTGGATGATGATAACGTAAATATATTTGAAGTATGAAGTTGATCCCTTTAGAAATAAATAAGTAACAGTAAAAAATAATATTTTTTATGGAAAATTCTAAGTTCAAAGGGAGATAAATCTGAAAATATTGGTGCTAGAGTTATGAACCTTGTCACATAAGATGGGGATGATGATAAGGTACATATATTTGAAGTATGAGGTTGATCCCTTAAGAAATTAAGAAGAAACAGTAAGAAATAGTATTTTTTGAGGAAAATTCTAAGTTCAAGGGGAGATAAATCTGAAAATATTGGTGCTAGAGTTATGAACCTTGTCACATAAGATGGTGTCACATAAGATGGGGATGATGATAAGGTACATATATTTGAAGTATGAGGTTGATCCCCTAAGAAATAAAGAAGTAACAGTAAAAAATTGTATTTTTTAAGGAAATTCTAAGTTCAAGGGGAGATAAATCTGAAAATATTGGTGCTAGAGTTATGAACCTTGTCACATAAGATGTGGTTGATGATAAGGAACATATATTTGAAGTTTGAAGTTGATACCTTAAGAAATGACAAAGTTATAGTGAAAAATATTTTACTGCACCAAAACTTTAATCTAAAATCTGGACGCGGACGCCGGGGCGAGTAGGACAGCTCTCCATTTACTTTGTATAGTCGAGCTAATAAAAACCAGAAATACCTTAATGTGTATAATGGTACCGTATTTCTCCTTATTATTATCCCTGCCCTAATTGCGGCTCCCTCATCCCATTGCAATGGGAGTGCCATTTTCAATCTTGACAAAAGTTAGCACTAATAAAACATTGTCTTAATTCATCAATTTAGGTAAAGAAGTGTTTACTTAGTTCCACCTACATCAGAGGACTCTTATTTTGTTTCAATATAGTAATCGTTTTCTTGATTTTCAGTCGTAACTGTGCACGAGCTTCTTAAAGAAAAGAGGAAAAAAAAAATCAAACAGACACATACCTTGGAAAAAGTTATGCACCTGGGCATGTTAATAAGGAGAAATACGGTAATTTTCTTGGATGATGCCATTGTATTCTTTACATAATGCTAATATTTTGTGTGTCATACACATTTACAGTTGCCACTTGAAACCCAAATGAAGGACCTTCTCTAGGAAAATGGTGATATTTCATTGGAGGATAGAGTGCAGTGTACAGAGATTCTTGGTTCTAGAGATTTATGCCCACAGATGATCAAAAAGCACAAATGTAAAGCACCAGTACACCAGAACTTAGTTGTAAAAGTATAATTTAACACCAGCCATAAGAAGGACAGGATGCTCGACAATTCTGTGCTTGATAGTAAAACTATAAAACTTCAGCCTAGCTATAAATGTAAGAATTAACATAGAGGAGGATTCCATTTACATAGTTGTGAGTCTTGGATATTGGTGTAGGATAGCCTCTTCAAACAGCGGAGGTAAAGACCTTTTAATATTAATATTTGTATCTTAAACACGAGTAGCAGGGAATTACCCACACTCCCTGCATTACAAGCCAGTTTTATCAATGGACTATTCCATGCACTGCTTGTATATTTGGGTCATACAACAGATTTCATACTTAACTCTTGGTGCAATATGTCATATATAAACCTCTTGTGCCACTAAATACATAACCAACACACAAACTGACTAAAGACAGACAATCTACTTTACAGTAACAGGGTATCTTTCCCATACAAGAATCGTTGCCCATTTCAGACTTCAAACTTGTACAAGAAGTTAAGTCAGTGACTAAAAATTACTTACCCTTTTTGCATTGTAAACCTAGTTTTAAATGTACATGTAACAGTTATTGATAAGCATAGTCTCGTAAATTTTTTACTTGTAGAAAGATTCCCCTCATAATGATAAAAGAACATAAATTATAAATATATAAATTTACACACAAGTTAGATAGAGTATCAATAAAAAGCCATATTTTTTAGGCTTCTAGGCTCATATCACTGGAACAAAATTAATTAAACGCTTTAGTAAAACATTTTTTTTTATATATTTTGTATATACACACTTTCATTAGACTGGTCAAAATCCCTCACAAAACTTAGTTTGGTTACACAGGAAGTTGAGATGAAATCTGACAACAGTCCTAGGTGAACACGGGTACCAGCTATATAACCACTTTGTAACTTCTTCAGGGTACCAATCAGAGAGCTTGGGGGTTCTCCATATTGATCTATAAATGAAACAATATATATTACATCCAAGTTACATCTACTTGTATACATTACAGAAGTTGAAACTATACATGTACGGTATTACTCTTTTTTCTTTTTTTTTACAAAATCAGCAAAATAAATCAATATTCGTAAAATATTGTGAGCAGTATAAGCCTTTAACCTGCTGAATTTCTAACATGGACTAGTCCAGCTTCCATTATTGGAATAGTCCATTATGAACTTTGGGGTTATCAAGATCAAAATTTTAAGTTAGTCACCCAACAGTATAGAGAGCCTGGTCAGACTACAGAGATGTGCAGCCTGGCTCTCTACTGGTGGTAAGGTTTATCAATTTTGCTTCCAGCAGATTAAGGGATAAACCGAATGATAACAATTTTAAACCTAAAAGACATCATAGAATAGCATTTGAAATAAAGAGAAAATCAGCCAACTTAAAAATATTAAATATTTCACAAGTTTATAAATAATCTTGATAAAATTTTCTGAAAGTTAATATATATCAAAAGTAGTTATTCTATAATCAAAATAATAAAATTTCTGAGGTTTAGAAATAGTTACGATTGTGAAATCTTTCACAGAAAATATAATTAAGAAAATTATTTGAGCAAGAAACTTTAAAAATTAACAGTACAGTACGCCAGAGAGCATGCATTGTATACAGAGAACACAATAATGGAAGACAAAACAAAAATTTCTAATTAAATGGAAAAACTACCTAACAGCCATTACAAAAATAACTATGCAATCACTACAAAAATAACTATGCAATCACTACAAAAATAATTATGCCATCACTATAAAAATAACTAAGCAATCTCAAACAGGATATTATATTCACATACATTAAATCTGAAAATTCTAATTCAGAACACCTATAAGCTTCACTACTTTCTATAATATTATTCTCATTGACCTAAGATGGCATTCATTTTCCTTTTTTTTTTTAATTTAGAGCTATATCTAAAACAGCAAAACATAACAACCAAAAACAGTACAGTACAAACAGTATATATTCCAACAACATTTAATTAACATCTACAATGGTCCATCTGCCATATGCAAAGGGTAAAACTTAGTTTTTTTTGTTCCGTTTTTTTTTTAGTTAATCATTAACCTGCCTCTGAACTGTTTAGCATTGATCTAGACTCTATATTGTTGGTTACTTACCTGGCCTGCAACCTTCATATACCGTTAAATTCCTAATAAACGCCCCTCCCCTAATAAAGCACCCCAGGTCTTTTAATAATGAAAATAATCTACTCATCAGTGCTGAACTCATAATTAAATACATAATATTATTCAAATCATTCATTTTATTTTATAGTAAACACAAATATGTATAATATGAACTAAAAAACCTTTACAAGTTTTAATGTTATTACCAACACTTGCTAACACTAAATGTATTTACAGTGATTTTTTGATTTAGGAAAAATGTATTTTAATAATAGCCCCCCTTTTGGAAAATGTTTAGCCCCGGGGGGCGTTTAATAGGAATTTTACGGTAAATATATTCAGGCAAGAAACTTGACAAAACTTGTATCTGGCAATTTTGGAATATCATTTAACTTTAAAGGGACTCATCTGTGGTTTTTTGACATGACGAGACTGGAAGTATTTTTTCCATATACATATGTATATGTCCAGTTTGACCAATAATTTGTGTGTAAAATTTAAGATTGTCCACTAAGTCCATTTTTCCAACATAATTATTTGAATTATGACCAAGAGCTGTTGGTAGGACCTTGAGCTTGAATATTCTCAATGCTTGATAGTAAAACAAGAGTTTGGATCATGTAGAGATTTCATAGTTCAAAAAAGGCCACATTATTTTATAAAATTCCATGTTAGAGTTACGGAACTTGGACAAAGACCTCTATTATGCTGTCAGATTAGTGAGTGAAGTTCCAACCCACTCTCTTAGTTCTTTTTAAGATAACACCTTGTACCAAGCTAAGAAGCTGACAACTGGATGAGTACAATAGCTCTCCCTATTCTTTAAATAGTGAGGCTAAAAATAAACTAGAAATACAAAACAGTTAAATGCTTTTAACTTGCTTTTAACTCAAATCTGGTTAAGAATCCCCCTAAAAAGTGCCCAAGTTAACCTGTGTAAGAAATTCAAATTTAATGTTTTTAGGCATCTGGACTTCAGTGGAGTTCCTTTAAGAAGTATTTCATTTCACACTCATTTTAACAATTTTTTTTGTTTTGTTTGCCATTTTAACAGTGGACAGTAAACATTTTATTTTATTCCAAAAGGCTTCCCACATGGAGAAACAAGCAAAATAACGAACAGTGTACAACAACAACATATATACACAATATTAACAATCTTCAAACAGTTGGAGATCATTTTGTTTGATGAAAAAAAAAATACCAGCAAAATATTTTATGAGAAACCCTTATCATACTTCATATAATGGACTTTGTTACTGACTTTTGGTAATAAGAAGCATTTTGACATGTATCATCCACCCTCCTACTTTCCTTACTTTCTTTTATAAAATGTACATTGGTGGTCGTGTTAGTACATCCTTTGGATCATAGCAGTAAGCCATTTGAATTCATTAGAGCATAGTTCAGCAACTGCATCATTCCTGGGCAGACTGTCAAGCAGTTTACCAGTACTAGTTGCCTTCACATTCACAAGGAACTGATAAATTTGTACATGCCAAACCAATGGTACAGTGTGAATGGCCATAGAAAGGATTTCATGATCAATGACAATAAAAGTGACCTGCACTGTCCTCGTATAAAATTTACATTTCTTTGTGCCTTGTACTTAATATCAATTTACTTTGTGAAGCTTCTTTACAGCACAATGAAACCCTACTAAATATGGTAGGGTAATTAAATATGGTAGGGTAATTAATTTTAAAACTTTTTGAAACATTTTAAAATGTTTCATATTTGACAGCAATTGGCAATAATTTTTGTGGAAATAAAAAGGAAACAGAGCTTGAGTGATAAATGTAGGAAAAAGTAGGGCCAGCTAGACAGCCTGCAGAAGAGATACATGTAGGTAGAGGTGAAAGAGGTGATAAGCTTTTTTTAGATGCTAAGTAAATATATTGTGAATTGAAATTTTTACTGGTAAGTTATTAATTATCTTAGCATCTGTATCTTTTTTATTAATATGTTGATATTAATTTTTTTGTTTCAGAGGTTATATTCAAGTATAAAACCATTATATGGCTTATATATCTTTAATTTAGAAATCTAAAATATTAAGTCATTACCACTTTTATTTTTTAGAATTAATTTATATATAATATAAAATGTTAAAGTTTTAAAACTCATTGATTATATTATGTAAGTACAATATCTACTGAAGTAAATTCACATCCTGCTGAACAGAATTTGTATCATGGAAAAAGTATTTGTTTTAACATCAAGTTTGATGTAACTTTTTTCAACCAATGATTCTACAAAAACTGTTATCTAGCCATAATAACTTTAACCACCCTAAATATCTTAGATGGAATTGTCATTTTCAATTTGGACAAAACCATTCATCATTTTTAGGGAAAAAAATTAAAATATGTACTGTACATCCTGTATGACAGTGCAGACAATGATCAGACAGGAAAGATGTGCCGTCTGCATTTTGTCTGCACTGGTCAGATATGCAAATTCTGTACCTATCATCAGGCTAAAGGTATGTCAATGTTCATATATAACAAGAGCAGTTCTGATAACCAGTTACAGAAGCTTCCATTACAAAAGCAGTAAACAAAAATTTTTAGAAGCATATATGAAACAAATCCCGAAATCCCACCCACATGTGATGTAACGAAAAGTATAACAAAAAGCCATTAAATAACACAAATTGTGTACCATCAAGAGAGAGATGTAGATATATTAGTTTGTTAGAAATTCATCAATATTAGTTTGTTTAATGTACTCCATATTCTCGATGAACCTGTCAATATATCATGTGACGTTAAACTTGATTCGTATCTTGGCTATTTATAGATTAATTTTCTGCTTAATTAGAATAAACTATTAAATTTTTTTTTAAGCATTACTAATTCATTCCTAATACAGTATCAATATCAATTACTAAAGGGTTTTTCAAAACTTCTAAAATTTCTTACTCCATTCGTACAATTTATTATTTTACAATCAAATTCTTACAAATCATTTATGACTTTTAGAAATGTAAGACATAAGACTTTGTCGATAATACTGTCTAAACCGATCAATTACGCTGAACTCGTGCTAAGTTCAACTTTTACAAGACATCACATAATATATTCACAGATTCATCAACAAATCACAACTCTAATCACTGTTTACCTCATACCACATTTCTAGGAAGTTTTCTATTTATAGCACACTTTAAAACCTTGACCTTTTCTTACCAAAGAGGTCGGAGGAAATACTAATGGCCATTAAAGGTCGCCCCATGCCCTTCCAGCAATTTTTTATATAGGAAACTTCCGAACGAAGAATGTCAACCATAAAAGTGGCATCTAGTGACGTGTAAAATTGCTGATGGTCCAAAAACTGTCAAATAAAAAATCACAAAAAGAAGCCTGAGCATCAAGCTTTAAGCTTTTTTTAGACAGGATCATAGTAATTGTAATAAGTATAAACAAAATGGAAAAAGCATGGTCGATCACAGCCATATACAATCCCCTTCTGACCCAAATAAAATATGGGAAATATTACTTACCCCACCCACCACCCCAAAACAAAGACTTGATCACGATTATTTCTGATTTTTGTTTTTTTTTCTTTCTTCTTTTCTGAATGTTCTTTGCAGAAATTATATTTCTAACCACTTTTGAAAGGGATTAAAATTAAATTGATAAAATATCCTTCATTTACTTAAAATTTGTAGTTAATGGGAATGCATTAGGAAACATTAAATAGAAGACAAAAATGAGTTTCCTTGTCTCAATATATACTATTGCCAAGAAGCAAATTCTGCTTTTTACATCAATATGTTATACTCATGAAAATTGTTACTCAATGTACACAAGTTTAGTCTCGATAATGAAAACGGCAAATATTTTCTAAAATATGAAAAAAAAATATATTCAAACCATTCTGAAAAGAAACACAAAAAAGAGACAATTATCAAAATGAACATACATAAAATATATGTTATTAGCCTCTAGAAAATCATACAGGAACCCTAAAGAAAATGTCAGAAGAGGACTGCTTTACTACACAGTTAAGCACAATGAACGAAATAACATAAAGCCTGGGATTACATAGAAAAATAGGACATGCACAGATAAACAAATATAACTCTATAATGACTCCTTCATCACAATATCATAGTTTCGCACCTAATGTTGACCTGTTTACAGGACAGATAAATGTCGGCCTTCCCATCATTCTCCAGTTGTGTGCCAAGTCGTCCATATTGTTTTTCATTGTGTCTACAAGAAAATCCATATCGAGCGGCAAGTAGAACTGATGTTGGTCTACAAACTGAAATGGTGCAGTTCTAGAGCTGTAAAAATGTCGTCTGCTGCAAATTTCTTGCCATTCTTATAACATGCTACTTGTATATTGTAACATGCCACTTACTTAATTATATACATTACATCATTAAACTATTAAATTCAGCCAATAGAAATGTTAGCCAATATACATGTATATACCTTGTTTTTCCACCCTTGCCCAACCCCATTTTCTTTTGCAGCATTGTATCATTTACTTACATCATAAATAACATGTATCCTTAGCATTATATCATAAATACAACTGGTTAGTAAGTTGCAAACATATAGCTGTAAAATGACAACTTTGTTTTGTTTTATATACTGGTACTCATTTGGAATTAGTTACTATGCTTTGATTACTTATGCTCCAATCAGAAATCTTTTAGCTTATTTCAATTACATGTTCTCTCGAGTCAACTTTTAGGACCTGATTGAATACTGGAACTCTATAAAGAAAAACTGTTTTGGCAATAGAAGGGTTCAAACCCAGACCCCTAGACTGAGAGACAGAGATTTAAACAACAAACCAACTTCTCACTTAGTTGTTGTTTCCCCTTCCGCAGTTAATCATAGAGAATCACATATTTACATCTGTTGAAAGTCTTTGCCTTGTAAATATACTTAAACTTTGAAACTTTGGATTTATTATATAAACTAAACTCATCAAAAGTTAGCACAGTTTTTTGAAAGCCATATATAAATCAAACATAAATGTTCAAGGATGACAATTTTTTTTTTACCTACCTACCCTACCCAAACTGGCATGGGTCGTGGGAAGGGAAACAAAGATCATTTCAAGGTTAGCAATTAGTCAGCCAAATATCTATATAAATCAACAGCTACATTTCAAAGATTATAAAGAATATTGATTCTTGAAAATTTTATCAACAATACAGTTCTTATACATTAATTATCCAATAAACTACATTGGCGGCATGGCCGAGTAGTTATTGCATCAGACTAGTTATCTAATAATTGCTGTCCTCGTGGGTTCAAACCCCATCAGAGGCAAGCCGTTGTTTCCTTGAACAAGAAACTTGACGCTCATTGCTCAGTACTGGTTGGTTTCGGGAACAGGTTATAAGCTTTAAGCTTCCTACACAATCAAACTAGAATAAATTCTAATAAAAAATAAAGGATGTCAAACACACAAAGTGGGTCAGGTTTCAGTAAATTTATAAAATACCTATGTTCAGCTCAGGTGAGCTAAAAAAACATAAGCAGGGGGAAAGAAAGCAATGAAATGATTCAAATACAATAAATCTAACAAATTATAACTACTCAACTATAGCAGAAAGTTAAGATCATTGTAAATATTGCTATAATTATATGATTAATCAAAGAATGATTTTCTTCCAGTTTCCTAATCTAAGGTTGTTGTTTACCACTATAAAAAAAACCCATGTCATACATATATTTTAAAATGCACCAGTTATAACTTTTCAGTTATAATTGAGTTAGTTTCCTATAAATTTACACAGTAAACTAAACGCATAAACTTTGATAGATCCTTTTCAAAATTTTATTCTTATCTCTTCTTTGTCAAAAAAAAAAAAAAATATGTGCTGATAATTTCCCTTTCAAAATAATACCATACCTAACAAGTTTCCTAGGTTAAAATATAGTAAGACAATGACATTACAAGCTTTATCATATTAGGACAATTTTTTTTCTGATTCACATCTTACATTATTCTTACATCATCTGGTTAGAAAGCATCAAGTCAGTTAGTTACAATGCATTCAAAAGCCTTACAACAAAACATTTCAATTTTTCATAATCCTAATAATAAGACTTCATTTCATCAGTGGGAATCAAGACTAAAGTTATTCCATCCATCAAATGCTTTGTTTAAATAGGCAACTCCATATTACACGGACAAGAAGACTTCTTACAGATTTGAATGGGTTTCATGTCACTAAGATGCTAGTTCAATAGCAACTTTCCAGCTTTATTGGCACAAAGAAATTGGAGTCCACACTGTGAATTATTTCAAGTTCAAACTCGACTTGAGTGGAACCACAAACCTTTTGTCAGCTATCTAGTTACCTTATATCACATGACTGGAATTCCATGTACCTTCCAGAATTTAAACTGACAGTGGTGATGGGGTAATTTATTCATTCAGTCAGTCACCATGATCATTTAACCACAGGGGCCCTTTAAAACCAGGTAAAACAACAGACAGACCATGATAGAGGTTCTATGGAAACATTGCTGTGTAACTCTATGAAATTAAACATAGCACTGCACTGTAAAGCTCTGATAATCCATTGAAGACTTTATATATTTTTGATGATGATGAATGGAAAAACTGAATTCTCTTTTCAGCTTAAATTTAAAAGCTATTAGGTTGCATGCAAACAGTCTATGCTTTTTAATCATTGGTTTACATCTAATTTGTTGCCTGTTTTGAGGAAATAAAAAAATTACAACAGATAAGATTTAACAAAAGTCTCATATAAACAGTTCCTGTATGTAACAATGAAAATCTGAATAATGTCTCAGACTCAAAAACTAAATTACAGTCAGGGTTCAAACAGAAATCTGTCAACTAATTTTAAGCACTTTTCAAGAACTTTTTTAAGGCCAATTTTTCATTTTCAAGGACAGTCTGCAATAGAGTTCTTGCAAACAATCGAAGTTTCAAGCAAAGATTTCTATCTAAAAGCAAATTGTACACTTCAGGAACCTTATCACAGTCATTTGTATACCATTTATTTCAATTATCTTCATGCATATCTGCCTGTACTCTGCAATGGGCATTTCAAACATTGCTTTATATGATAACTGATGGATAATCTTGAAGCAATGTGAGTAAGAATTTACATTTTTTCCATTCTTAGACATTTCTAACCATAATTTTCGAAGTTTACTTTCTGTTTATACTCGTGAAAACCAGTAATGCAAAAAGTGATGACGTTGTACACTTTTACCGATGACGTAGAACACATTTTCTGTTCATTTTATACTCATAAACATTCATAACATAAATAAGTATGGGTAAATAAATATTTTCGGCAAAGTTTTCCTTTCCATTTTGGACAAAAATGGTTTAATTTTCCTTGTTAACTGATGATCATTTTTATTTTTACGAGAATCAGAGATTTTCAAGGATTTTTTTTCAAAATCAAGCCCTTTTTTAGCACTTTTTCAAGGACACCCTCAATTCAAGCACTTTTCAAGACAGAGATTGTTTTCAAGCACTTTTCAAGACCTGTGCGAACCCTGACAGTAGTAAAGTTTATCATTTTTGATATTGTTTTATTTTGATTGATATAGTCTCAATGGTGCTTCAAGTCATATGCTGACATTCCAGCTTTGTTAGTACAGAAATAGTACAGAAAAGCCCCACAGCTGACCTCTTTTCATTATTTCAGGCACATGCAGGCCCCAGAGTATACCCCCAACTATCTGTCAATAAGCTAAACAGCTTTCTAGCTAAACAGCTTTCACAAATAAAAAATCCAAAAATTGCCGGCAGGATTTGACTCAAAAGCCATTCAGGCAGATAAAAAAATTGATTAAGATCACTTGTAACAAGAGACATAATTGTGAAGAAATATATATATATATCTATAGACAGTAATTAACACTGTATTGAATATTTTTAAACATTAAAACATTAAATATTAAAAGTTTCTCTGATAGTGAGCATTTTAGTTAGGGCTCAAGGTTATAAATTTTTTTTCTGAATCTTCACTCAAATCTCAGGATAATCATTGGTCAGTGTACATTCTGTGAGAGTTTCTGACCAATCAAATACCTGAGATCCAAGTTTGAGTTTGAAGAATTTCTTTATAACCTTGGACCTTGGTATTACCATTTGAAATCTTGTTTATGATAAGACTTCTAAATTCAGATTTGATATAACAATCTGACTTCACTTAATCAATCTCTTTCTTTTTGTACTATACATTTGAGTCTTCATTTCTTGCTTTAAAATTTCTTATATAATTATGTACTAAACTATGATAAAATATAAATCCAGAGAATTACATTAACGGAACAGCATATAGAATTATTATGACTTAAATGGTCTCTTATCAACAAAGACATTGAGACATGACTTAGCATATATGTATTATACAATCACATATAATATAGATATATGGTAAGACTAACCTGTGGTATAAAAGCTAGGATCTGGTCTTGTAGGATATATAGTTTACTGGTTGCTAGGAGACCAATCTCACTAGAAGGTCGTCCTGTCAAACCCATCCTTTTATTCTTACCTGAAATAACCAGGCACAATTGATGTCCTTAGTTTTAAACGATTTGCTGCATTAAAATCTTTAATTTTTACTATAGGAACATTTATAATTTATCATTTTTTTTTTGCTCTATTAAAGCAACATGCCTCAAGATAAGAATATTTCAAGAAAATCAAATTTGAGAAAAATGTACTAAAATTCAAAGAAAAGTAAAAAGATCCAAAATGATAATTTACATGTAATGACTGCTTTTAAAATATTCATCACAATATTTCTACTGCATGACTAAGGCAGAAAGGGCTATTTTTTTTGCATATTTTGACATCTTTTTGATAACTTATATGGACTGTTACTGCCATTTGCATTGTGTAAATTACTTTCATTGTTCAGTTCACAATATTTCATTTTCAAATACAATTTCAATTTTTTTTATGATAATTATTATGAATCTAAATTCTTGAGGCATGCTGTTTTTATATCAATATTTCCTTTCAATTCCAAATACATGTATTGATTAAACTTTTAAGCAAAGTTGGCATTACTGAGCTAAATAATATATCATTGAATTATATATAATGTGAAAAATTACCAAGTAAAGAGTAAATTTGACTGAGTACTCTAGCTGGGTAGACCTGTATGGGTGCCACCTCCGGTATGGTCTGCACAAATATACCATTCTCTGATAACTTGTCTTGTATTGTCACATCTTCTGCCAGGATTACAACTGGAAATACACAAACAATTTTCTTAAACAAGAGTTGTCCGTAAGACAATGCACTCCACTATTTTCAGGGCTTGACAGTAAACAAATGGGCATAACTCTGTAAAAAGATTACTAATGAGTAATGGGACATGTGCTTAACATGTTAGATAATCACAGAGAACAAATGTGTGAAGTTTCAATCAATTCCCTTCAGTAGGTTTGGAGATACAAACTTGCACACAAAAAACTTAACACCTAAGTGTGACGCCAACACTGTCGCCGTGGCTTGTACAATAGCTCTCCGTACTCTTCAATTAATAACTTATAACTGGTAAATCAAATTTAAGAACATATCAAGGAATAAATTTTTTTCAGAGATACAAAAATTACTGTTGTTATTTTTAGCAAGCTTTTAATTAGGGGTGTCATCAATTCAATCATTTTTTAAATATCGTATATCGAATGCACATATATTTCTAGCTAAAGAGACTTCAGCGAACAGGATTTATAGAACTGATAGACCTGTTTACTGTCGCAAAACGTCAGAATAAAAGCGACTTATAAAGTTATGGAAGCCAGAAACATTTTTTCTAAAATGAAAACGGAAATCAATGCCAAAGTAACCTCCCAGTGTCTTTAACGAATGCTGCCTAATTTCGTTGTAATCTCACACGTCTGCTAAGTGGACGTCAAGATCCCTCAATTCAGATTTCAAAAAGGGAAAATGCCAAGAAATATTTGTCAGTGTTTCTTTGTAAAAATTATGATAACAAAATGTTAAACTTTAATAATTATTCAAGTTCTAAACACTATAATTTGCCAATTAAACCCGGCTTAATTGGAACGGCAAGGACGGGATTTAGCATGATCAGTAACTGCGTAATAGCAACAAAAGGCTTTAAACTTTATAGTTACTAGTCATTAGTTTTCATTTATAGCAATATGATAAAAAAAGTAACAAATTGTTCAGTTTTCATAGTTTATCTTATTGCATTTGTCTTAATATAACTGCTTTGTTAGTGTTCTAAGGAAACATTTAAAATGACTTGAAAGCTAAAATTTAGCCTGGCAATCGATATATCGCTGTATCGCCGATAATTCATTACCGATATATTGATACAAAAATCCTTATCGATGACACCTCTACTTTTAATGTAAGAAAATAGCTGACAAACAATTTCAGGGTCAAAATGTGTAGAATTAAGCAGAACTGATTATTATTTTTAAGACTTCACAAATGCACATGCTTTCCAGACTGTCAAATGGGCCTACTGGCCTATCATTGTAAGTATGTAGTTTACAAAGAAAGATACCATTCCTAAAATAGACTAAAATTTGTGCTTTAAAATAAAGACATCAGCAGACACTACATACCTTGAACCACAACATCAGGTCTTGGCTCTGTTATCAGTCTTCTATTCAAAGGATCTAACTCTCCAGGGGAAATAAATTTCTAGACAGAAAATTGACAACAGATTAGCATTTTACATTTTTCTTTACCAATAAACATTATTTAATATTATTAACAATTACCTGCTACTTTCCAGCTTTACTGGAGGAGGAAGACCTCAGGTGCCCCTAAGTACATTACTTCAGGCATGAGAGGGCAACTGAGTAGACTGCTTATTTTAAAACAAGTACTAAACAAAAGTTTAAGTGAAACATCGTCTGAATTAAAAAGTTCTGAGATAAATCTCAGCAAAGTTGTTTAACTGTTGTAAATCATGTTTGTGAAATAATGAATATGTTTACCTCCTCAATAAGCCTGCCCAGTATATATAGAGACTGTCCCCACATATGTAAGGGTTTCCCTATCTGTTGCCTTTTCTGACTGTCAGGTTTTCTAACTTCTTGATCAACCTACATTCATGCAGTGAAAATAACAATTCAAATATATAATATAGGCATAGTATTCCTCTGTCTAATAGCAAAATGTTTCATCAGTTTAAGTGAATTTCTTTCAACTTTCCTATGATGAAAGCTTGAGAGTTTTATAACTAAACACGGATCTGCTTCCCTGGGTTTTATATAATGGTTATAATTGATTTAAAAATATAATAAGCTACTACAAAATATGATCATTTAAAGTTATACTTAAGGGGATTCCATTGAATTTTTTTCATAACAGAATAAAAAATATTTTTTGAAGATTTGTGTACCATTTAATGTAAGACTGGACAAATAACTACATGTAGTATGCAAATTTTCAGATCATTCCCAGTCTCCCCCCACTTTTTGTACAGAATCATGATTTTTTATTATCCAAATGACCAAAAAACTGAAATGCTTTTAACTCAAATTAGAGTTAAAATTGCACAAAAAAAAAGAAAGATTTTCAATATAATTCGAAGTATATTTCATACTGTCCTTTGCAGACAGATTTTTCCATTTTAAGTGCTTCACTATGTAAGAATTTCAATTTTTTATATTTTAGGATTTTTGACCATAGTGAAGCTCCTTTTAAATCCTTCATTTTTCCCCCAAGATCTCAATATGATCTTAATTACGAATCTAGCTGTGAAAATGATGTCAGATACCTTATCCTTTGGCACAGCGTACATTTCTGGCATCATTGGTATCCCTTCTTCATTTTTTAAGATTACACTCTCCAACATTGACCTGTACTTGGACACCTATAAACACCAGTTACAACCAATAAATATATACAAACAAATGTATTATGCGGTCAAGATAAAATTGTATCTTTAAACAATGCACTTTTATTTTTCACAATATTTTAGCTCACCAAGTCAATGTAATGCTAAATTTTCAAAGTTTTTATGCTATAAATCCACATCATTTTAACAATAGTCTTCTATACACTATATAAATGTGGCCATGGTAGTTTGATACACTTTTACAGACTCAGTAATAAACAATGTATAAAAACACTTTCGTACTCAGGAAAATTAACAGCAAAGAGTTTACAATATTTCATTATCAACAAACAAGCATTCAAATCATTATGATATACATGTATTTTAAGAGAAATGATAAAAATATCTCACTCTTTCTTCGTCCCCACTATACAATCCATCTAGTATAAAGTATGCAAAGAACATGGGCCACATATTTTCGATTTTCTCAAATGCAAGAAGTTCCCAAGGTTCGTAATGAAGTCTGTTTGAATCTTCCATAGCTGTCTTATAACCGTCACGTAAAAATCTTCGACAACCATATTTACCCTGAAAAAGTAAATTAGTGTGACATATTGTGCAAAGACAGTGATTAAAATTCTAGCAACTCAATGTGACACAGAAGTCAATGTGACACAGAAGTCAATGTGACACAGAAGTCAATGTGACACAGATGTCAATGTGATACAGAAGTCAATGTGATACAGAGGTCAATGTGATACAGAAGTCAATGTGATACAGAGGTCAATGTGATACAGAAGTCAATGTGACACAGAAGTCAATGTGACACAGAAGTCAATGTGACACAAAAGAAGCATCCTGAATGGAAGTTTTGGAAACAAGAGGGCCATGATAGCCCACATATTGCTCACCTGATTATAAAGGCTCTTAATCAATATATTAAAGCAATGAATGAAAAGCAGATAAAATGTCAAAATCTTAAACTGATATAACGTTCATATCTGCACATTAAATAGTACAAAATTTAATGTAAACAAGATTTTTTCATATGGGCTGTCACCTAGATTTTGACCCAAAATGACCCATATTCCAACTTGATCTAGAGATCATTTAAACAACAGTCCTGACAAATTTTCAATTATTTGGGCTGAAAATATTACTTTTATAGTGTTAACAAGGGTTTTTCATATTTGGGCTCTGTGGCCTAGTTTTTGACCCTAGATGACCCATCTCATGTGTGCTAACAATACAGATAATAACCAGTGTATATACAGAATAGGTAAAAAATTTGACATGAAAACATAAAGTATTTTCATTTCAAGCGTCAAGTAAGTTCATTACTGTGACCTAGTTTTTCATTCCAGATGACTTATGTTGGAACTCATCCGAGCAATTACCTATACAAGCATCCTGACAAAGTTTGATGATGATTGAGGCAAAAATGTGACCGCTAGAGTGTTAACGAACAAATGTGGACAGACGATGGACATTCAACGATCCAAAAAGCTCACCCTGAGCTAGCTCAGGTGAGCTAAATTGAATGATACTGATCTTGTTGAATGGAGCACAAAGAAATTTAACTCACCATAAGTTTGGTTTCTATCTGTTCTCTAGTTTTGTTTATAATATCAATATCGTCAACGGCAAAGGCAGGAAAACTTATCACAGATATAAGGGCAGCATCTATCTCCTGTAAATAATGTATCCATCATTACTATCAACATAACTTCAAACACTGATCACTTTAATAGCCACGGCAATGCTTGTGATAAATCTACTATCTTCATATAAAACACCTGCATTACACAGTTACAACTGAGAAGATTTCAAATCTCATCCAAATATAAGAAAATTGACAAGCAATTTAAATCAAAACAAATATAACTATGTAAGCTCCTAAATGTAGGCTTCATTGATACATAAAAACGTAATATACAAACATTTTTTTCATTAATCTCTACATGTCAGACTTAAAATAACAGGTACAGTGTTCTAATCAATAAAATGAATTTGAAAAATAATGTTTTAACTTGACTGTTACCTAAGTACAGCTAAGGTAATAAATAACAAACAAGTGCTAATAGCACATACCCAGTTTGTCTTGTTTATCTATGCAGCAGTCAAAGCACAATTCTCACTGTTGGCAAATTTGACATTGAAATCTCTTAATTTTTCACCATCAGAGGACAGTTCCAAATTCAAAACCAGTGATGTTAATAACAGACTTAAAAATCAAGCATTAATAGTGTCATACTAGTAATTCATCAAGAGAATCTAATTGACTAATAACATTATAACTGGGAAACTTACCTTAGAGCTAGATTCCCTGGGAAGCATGGAGTGTAAAATGGCCTGACATTGCTGGGCCTCATCTGGCAGGGCATGTATAATAGAGGCAGGTCCACCGCGAGCCCCAAACAAATCTAGCTCATTAATAGCCTCTAATGCTGCCTGCAACAATGTACAATATAGTATTACTAAACTCATTTTTTTTTTTAATTTTAAATAACATGCATATTGTTTATCAAATGTGAATTTTCAGCTTTATCTTGTGCACCTATGTGCACAATTTCAGGCACATACAGACACTGGTATAGATAGTATTACAGACCTATGATATGAAAGAATTAAAATTCCTGGAGGGATTCAAACCCAAAGCGGTGAATGGCAGGTTTTTTGAAGTCAACAAAATTAAAAGGCCCCTAGCATTAATGAAAATTCAAAACAAACAAAACAGAAACACAAATACTTTAAGACTTAAAAACCCTATTTTCATTTACATTAAACATTTAGCAATAATATATATTTAGCTATGCTTAAAATCTATTTATCATAGAATATAATACTAAAGTATTACTTTTGCCATTCCAATGGAGCTAGAGTTTAATTCAGGAAGACCATGATTTGTTTTGTCACCTCTTTCCCAGATTCCATAATCCTGAAAAACACAAATAATTAGTGACTTTAAATACGTTATTGATTTTTATGATTCATTTATGAGGCTATAATAACAATTCTAATGTCATGTTTTCACTGGTTAAGGAAGACCACAGATCTTTTCGGTGTACTTTTTCAAACAAGGGTTGTTAAATAATGGGAGGTACTATGTCCCCTTTCTAATAGCTTATTAGTTTCTTTGTAAAAAGAGTTCAACTATAAGTGAAAAATTCAAATCAAAAGCAGTGAACACAACAATGTGTAATTTATTTAATAAAATAAGTCTTGCAAATATCTCTTGAAACATGAATATTCTTACTTAAAATCTTAGTAAATCTTTCTCAAGGTTAATTTTCTTGAAATAATTTGGTTCAGCTGGAGGCATGAAGCTTTAAGTACTTTTCACAATAACAATTCTGAAAAAAATTAAGAACTTACTGGTGTTCTGTAAGCAGTTTCTATGTAGAAAACAAGGTTCTGTATAAAAGATGCTTCATCTAGTGTGTACACTATCTGTAAACCTGTAGTCAATAATATAACAGAGAACATATTTATCATGCTGCTGAAACTTTAATAACGATATGTAGAAGGCTTTCAACCTTGGTTCAATTTTTACATTCTTTGCTTTTCTTGTTTTTAAGCCGATTTTTACATATTTTGTGGTCATATCTCTACAGTCAATCCTCCTAATCAGCTTTCCTAATTAACTAACCAGTAATTACCAATATCACAGCAAAAGACCAACTAATAATCCCACACGATTTTAGAATCAGCAGTGATAGACATTTTTAGTTTAACAGTTTTAATATTCTTTAAAGCAATAACATATTTGAGATCACGTACCAAACTTACGTTGTTTACTTCCTTTGAAATTAAAATCTCAGAATACATTTATCTTTTTACACTGCTCAAAGTGTTAGCAAGATCAAACTTGAAAAGTTTAGTGAATAATCAGGATGGAAGGCAATAATTTTAAGATATTTTCCTATTTGTACATACATGTGTATTGCTAATGATATCTTTTATATATGTACTGATGTTTACTCTTTGCACATTAGCAGTGATAACTACAGGTTTTTACCATAAGTAAAGTTAGTTGAATGAGACAGCATGCCTGTATACTGTACAATCTAACCAGACTCTAAACACTCTCCTTCCCTATTTAAGCCATTTAATACTAAAACCTCTTAATTAACATAACTGTTCCAAACAAAAGCAAAACCCAGTCCATAATTCTAATTTAGCAATTTTGTTTGTTTCATTTTACGCCTTTTCCCAACAGTATTTCAGTCATATAGGCGGGTAGTTTCCTAACCATCATTCCTGGAGAGTTACACCAGTACTAGACTACCTTCCTCAGCTAATTTAGCAATAAAAGAGTTAATTTACAAAACTAGCTATACCTGCAGCAGTCATCTGTGCCAGGAACAGTACATATAAAGATGTTGCATCAATCTGTAAATGTCCCCACTCGTTATCACCAACTACAGGCTTGCCTGTCAAACTACTGTACTTGGCATGAAGACAATCGTTCTTGGATTGGGTAATCTTGAACTTCTCTAGTTTATTCATTTGTAGCATCATACTCCTCATTAGACCTCGCATCAACTTTACAACTGACTGTAAAAAATCAAATAGTCATATTGATTAGATGATGCTATATATGAGATTTAATTAGACTTAAGGCATACCTTTGTCTTTTACGTTTTGAGCATGTTTTAAATGAATTAGTGAGAGGCTTGCTGAATAGAGATTGTATTTTAATAGAAACTATGTCAAGAGAAATGATAAGAAATTTGATGTTTTAGAATTAATCTTGTAACAGAAAAGCAGCCAAAAAAAACACAAAGATAAAATGACAAAAAAAAGCCAGCAAAAATGGCAAAGCAATATTGGAGTTACACTGCCTTGCCACTTAAGCCATTTGATAAACTGCTGTGGAACGAAAGAAGCTTAATTCCCCTTTTCAGATGGCTGTATTCTACTATTATGCTTTGTAGAATAATTTTGTAAAAACAATTCAAATTGTAAACTATGTAATAAAGTTAAGAAACTTAGTGACTTTATGTATTTATATCTAAATTATAGTTACTAAAAAATACAAATACATCTATATAAATAAAATTCACATCTTAGAGTTTCCAATCAATAAAAAATAGTCAAAGGTTTCTTATACATTTTTAAGCAGTTTTACATTTTTAAGAACATGTTCAGTAATATACCTGTTCCAGCTCATAAGCCTTAGCTAAATCTTCATCAAGATCTGCAGTCTTCCTGTAAGCCAAGGACAGTCCCCATACTGCAAGGATTGAATATACATTGTCTCTAACCCACGCATGACTGTTGTGTTCCGTAGCAGGAAATAAGCCTGTTACTGGATGCTAAATTTTGAAAAAATAACAAAAATTAAATGGTCAGTATTTTGCTAATCATAAACTGATATTATTACTTAAATTCAAATGCTATTAAAGTCTGAATCATTAAATATTCATTAGATTCAAAGCATCTTTATTTTATAGAATTAGCCAAGACATGATTTTCTGCTTCAGGGTAGCATTATAAATTAACAAAGTTGCCAATGATTTGTTTATTCATGTTTTTTGTTGATTTTTTGTTGTTGTTGTTGTTGTTGTTGGATACAATGTCAAAATTAATCATTTATATCTATAGTAAAATCTTATGTCAATAACCTGTGTTACCAAATACAAGTGTTGACTTTTGTCAGAATTTTGGGTTTAAAAATTACTGTGTGTTTTGCTAAAAATCAGGAAAAATTGCATGTCAGACATTTAGCATTGGTTAAATGAAAACAAACATGGGAACTTTCAAGTATGTTCCTTGAAATATCTCTTGATATCATTTATTTCAAATATTTTTTTTATTTTAATTTCAACTGGGAATGTTTGTCTGCATAATGCGAAAAATATACTACTTTCAATTGGGAATATAACCTAATATTGACTTTAAAATCTGAACAAAAAAACAATGAAAGAAGAATGCAGAACATTTTGCGTCCAAGATATTTCACACTGAAGACATTTCACTCCCAAGATGAATCACACTTGATGGTTTCACTCTTGATCCATCAATTCTATAGATGATCCATTTCCAAATATTCAATTTTGATATGTCCTGATGATTATTTTCCCCCTAAGACTGGGTTTAAGTCACACCCACATTAAAAGGGTTTCAAAAAAGTTGGTTTGATTTATCTATTTTTATCTATTTTCCATTAATGAAAAAATTTCCCTTTCACGCCGCCCACTTCAAGACAGATAAAGGTGGGCCCTACATAAAACCCAAAAAAACCCAGTCCCTAGCTCTTTTTGAATGGGCCCCTTTGGGTTTTTTTTTACATCCCAGAGTATAGCACTGAAGTTTGCAAGGTTTCCCTGGATTTTTTAAACCAGCACACCTCTGGTAGGTGAAAACACTAGCCTGACTAGTTAAAGGGTGTTACCTAAGACCGAACCAGGCCCTCGGGATTTAAAAATCAGGGGTCAAACCCAAAACTGAGCTATCCCCGCCATTTCCCCAACTTTACTGGTTTTTGAAGAGTCATGTCCCACTTCTTTGCAATTTTCGGGTTTGCAAGAGGGCACCTGGGGTAGAACCACAATCATTAGGTAAGCTAGCTAGATAGTTTCTTCATAGGGAAGAATTCTCAAAGTCCATCACGGGATTCAAACCAACAACTGTTGTGAATGGCAACTTAAGTGGCTTGAAATCAAATGGCCACAAAATCCCAAACTTGAATAGAATCTTTCTAGTTAATTTACATGAACTGATTGAGGATCATCACATACATACAATCAAGCAATCAAGACTGGTCAGAAAATTAAGCAGTTATCAACATTAAAAGTTAAAGAGTGATGGAAATACCCTACTAATAAAAAAAATTATAAAAAAAAATATCAATGAGTGACTGACAGTTTTATCTTACCTGATGTTTGAGGATGGTTTTGTTCACGAGACGCTGAAAATAATCTAGCCGAACGCCAGAATTACTTCTGTTCCTCATTTTACTTCTTGTATATTAAGGTTTTAAGTCATGACAGTAGATATTTATGTCAATAACTATTTTAATCAACCTCTAGGTAAGTGTAAGGTCAAGGCCGCTGTCAAACGTTAGACAAATATTCGGATTATAATTTTTGACAAAGGTCCTCTTATCCGACATAATACTTATTTAATAATTTTAATATACATAAAAAATAATGGAAAGAAATGACTATTATGTAGGCCTACCATTAAACACTTTCAAAATAAAAATAATTCGATACTGCGTCTTTATTTTAACCTTAATAGCGAAAGGAACTGTTATAAACGAAAATACGTATTGGTCCCAAATCCTAGGATGTAAGACCAACTTACATTGTAAGACCAGTTCGACAAACATTTAATTGTTAGTCAAAGTCTTAAGAGAGAAAAGTTAAGAAATACAACAATATGCACATTGATCTGCAATGTGTTAATGTTCATCTACATTGCAATTCAGAAATTAATCAAAACATAGGAGTAATATGTTGACATATTCTTTGAAATGCAAAAATGTCTCACCTTTGGTCTCAAGACTGATTTCAGTCTGAAGACATTCTATGTCAAACACAACCCAGCGGACAATACAAATTTGCACTTCATTAGTATGGTAGATAGCATACACTGATTGACCTCAGTGAATATCAAAACACTTCCAAAGCATTGCCTCTTTTTTGTCTTTTGAAGGGGCATTTTTTTCTCCATAGAATATTTTGGTCTCCAACCTAGTGTCCCAGCTCATGCCCTGGAACAATCCAATCATTTTCAATTCAACCTCATCTTCTTTATCATACTCCATTTATTTTAGGTGAAGTTTCAAACAGATTTATATGCAAATCAAACAACAACAACATTTGTAGCAAAGTTATTTTATTGATAAAAAAATTCATAATCTTTATAAAAAGCTATATTATAACACATAAAAACTCTGCATGGTCTCAGGTGGTTCAAGTTAATTAAGGCTTATACTATTTTAATAATTACCTGTACATTAAAGCAGCATGCCTCCAGATTAAATTTGCTAATTTTCATTAAAAAAAAGTCCGAAAATGTATCAAAAAGTAAAATATTTTGAAGTAAACAAAGAAAATAATTTTCACATTGCAACCAAAGTAAATTTACCAAAAAGAAGTCAAAATATGCAAAAATAAACCTGAATGCATTAGTAACACAGTTGAAATATGGTGAAAAATACTGCAAAATGGGTCATAAATCACATGGAACTTTTACCTTGAAACTTTTCTTAAAATGTCAGTACTTTTTACTCAAGTTTGGTTTTCTTGAAATATTTTGGTTCATCTGGAGGCATTCAGCTTTAAAATTTATGAAGAAATAGGAAAATATTCTGACAAATCAAAATCTTTTCCTGGTTTATAATACATTTGTGTAGATATTGTTAAATAGTGGAAAAGAAATCAGAAATAAAGCTATGATTTCATATATAATATAATATAAAGTGATGGTTTTAATATGATTATCAATTCAACAAAGTCTAACATTCACAACATTCATTAAATTCAATCTGAACAGTGCTAATAGAATATAAAATGATATTCTATATGGAGAATATAAAATTATAATGAAATCTAATATGGATTCTTGAGACAAAATATATCACAGGAACATGTGGAACATGTGAGAGTTCCATAAACAAGGCATAATTAAGAAAATCACAGCAGACAATCTTATGACCAAAAAAATGTGCTGAATTAGATTTTTTTTGGTGACAACATAATTTTTAAAAAAATATTTTTTAAGTTTTTACTATATACATAAAGGAAAAAACAATGACCCCCCTGGGGCGGGGCCAAATTTGACCCTAGGGCATTTATTTGAACAAACTTGGTAGACACCCACTGGAAGATGTTTCATGCTTAAGGTGCATTACCTCCGCGTTGAAGAGTATTCAAATAGGCTAGAACTACTGTTAACTACATTGAAAATGAGGGCCATGGGTTCAATCCCCAGAAGGGTCAACTTTTTTTTTCTTTCTTTTTTTCTTTTAACATTATTTATGTATCTCTCATGTCCCATTTGGAAAGAAAAAAGTGTTTAATTTTGATTTTTTAATTTATATAGGTATTTATTGGCTAAATTATGCTAAATCTAGTAATAAATATGATACCTGATATTTTCAAAGTGTAATATAATCAAAACTAGACGGTAAAAGTATTTCATATTTTACAAGATCAACCAATATACTTTTTTAAAAATTTAGGGAAACTTTGAAAACAGGCATTCATTTGGGTAAATTTAAAGAATTTTTTAAATTAGGCTCCCTAAGTAGAAAAATGGTCAGACACGTGGTAAAAATGGGTGGGGTAGGGTAACATTTTTTATACAGATTTCATAAATTTTATGTAGAAACTATAATTTTGCTTATGTGGATTGTTAGCTGAATGGTACTATTTGTTTCTTACCAAAAATTAATGGGAAAACATTTTTCATTAGAAAGTTATTGCAGATTATTTAAAGATTCCTCATTTCTAAAAAAGGGCCCTCATAACATCCTAGCTTGAGTTCAGAAAAGTGGCCATAACTTGATTTCCGTACGGTAAACTTTGTTTAAATTTTGCATACAGGTGTACTTTAAGGTATACATCTGACCTATGATGTCAATTTTTCAGTTCCTTATAGTGCCCATTAGGGTCCTTATACCTTAATATCTAAGCTCTAGCTATTTTGATTTTTTTAGAAGAAGATTTTTTAAGTTTTTACTTTATACAAATAAGGAAAATCAATGACCCCCCTCCCCCCGGCCAATTTTGACCCAAGGGCTTTTATTTGTACAAACTTGGTAGACACTGACTAGACAATGTTTCATGCCAAATATTTAAGCTCTAACTCTTTCGGTTTTTTTAAAAAAGATTTTTTAAGTTTTTTCTTTCGGTTGCCATGGCAACCAGAGTTCTGCATGGAATTAAATTCTTTGATCAATTTTTTAAGTTGACTACCACAGGAACATTCCTGTGAAGTTTGGATGAAATTGGCTTAGCGGTTTATGAGATGTCTATAACAGTTTAAAGTAAAAGTTTATGGCCGGACACCGGAAGGACGACAGACGGATGGACGGACGAAAAGCGATCACAAAAGCTCACCATGTCACTTTGTGACAGGTGGGCTAAAAAAACAACAAAAACAGCAAAAAGAAAAAACAAAACAAGCTTATATGACTAAACAGCAGCTTTTCAAAATATTGCATTTCCCCTTTAAACAAATCAATAACAGAAATCTAAACAAATAGCATTTTAATAAAAAATGAAGAAACATAATGAAAACAAGGTGGTCTCATTGATACACTAGCAAAGTAAAAAAATAATATGTGCAATATTTACATGGAAACTTATCTGAGTGTAGCCTCAATATTTCTTTTCAGCTACAAGTCCTCAAAGTAAGTCTGCTATGAAAATTCAAAGTTGTAAATAAACACTTCTTTCTTCAAAATTATGAGCAAATTTTGTTGATTAAAAAACTAACAGATTATCAGATTTTAGTATAATCCTGGTCTTGAATCAATTATTTATTATTATACAGATTAGGAGTGTATTTATTGCATGTATCACATACATGTTTGACATAAAAATACTACTATCCACTATGTATACAAATGTATCCAGAATGACATTGATGATATTGTGGCAATAAGTAACAGTTGAATATATAGTTTAAATTCATTGAGGTATGTTATAAAACAATAATTGTACGAGAATACAGGCCGGAATATCTAGCTCGAGGGTAACTGTTTACGGTAGTAAGGCTCTGCCGAGTAAAACCGAGAGCTAGATATTCGTATCTGAGATGACAGCAAATGTCTAATTCTTTTTTTCCATGTAACAAATTAATCATAAGGAAAGAAATTACGATAACTACTATTTTCATTTAGCACTTTTTATGCCCCCACAATGTGGGAGCATATAGCGTTGCACTTGTCCGTCCGTCCCGAAATCTTGTGAACGCAACTCCTCTTAAACCGGATGGCAGATTTTGCTTAAACTTACAGGGATGAACAACCTTAATGTGTAGATGGTAGTAAAGGAAGGAATTTTTGCTGCCACCAAATTTAACAGAATTATGGCCCTTTGTTGATTTTTTCACTAGATACTATGTAGAAATTTTGTGAACGCAACTCCTCTTAAACCGGATGGCAGATTTTGCTTAAACTTACAGGGATGAACAACCTTAAGGTGTAGATGGTAGTAAAGGAAGGAATTTTCGCTGCGACCAAATTTTACAGAATTATGGCCCTTTGTTGATTTTTTCACTAGATACTATGTAGAAATTTTGTGAATGCAACTCCTCTTAAACCGGATGGCAGATTTTGCTTAAACTTCCAGGGATGGACAACCTTAATGTGTAGATGGCAGTAAAGGAAGGAATTTTTGCTGCAACCAAATTTAACAGAATTATGGCCCTTTGTTGATTTTTTCATTATATACTATGTAGAAATTTTGTGAACGCAACTCCTCTTAAACCGGATGGCAGATTTTGCTTAAACTTCCAGGGATTAACAACCTTAATGTGTAGATGGTAGTAAAGGAAGGAATTTTTGCTGCGACCAAATTTAATAGAATTATGGCCCTTTGTTGAATTTTAGTTTTCTACTTGTGGCACATGTAGTCCAAAAAATATTTGACCTAGAGTCATAAGATTGACAGAACAGTGGCGTGTGGGGGTATCTGTGTCCTATGGACACATTTCTAGTTTCTTATAGAAGCATATGGATTTACAACATTCATAATGTCAAACTGATGTCATTCTAAGAATGCAAATCATTCATGAAAGGCAAGCGGGAATGACATCAATCAAAGCAAGTGACTTGTCTTACATGGTAGGTGTAAGACAGGTTTTTCTAGCATCATTGTAAACAGTAGATATTCTTGTCTGATGTGCAAGAATTCAGGGTATGATGTTAAAAAGAAATTTCTCAGCTTGGGTATCTGAGTGTACAATTGGCCAATGAAAATCCTGAAAATTGAGGAAATATTTTATAACATTGAGTCCTAATCTATTTCTTCTTATCAGCTCCAAGACTTTGGACTGCGCTAGAAAATACTACTTGTTGCTTCTGAGTCTCATAAAAACCCGGCCCTGTGTTCACAAAGAAAAGATCAGGATCAGTTGATCCTGACTTTATTTTCATTGTTTTATAAAACTAAAACTGATCGTATTATGCTAGAATTAAATGGTAAATATTCGAAATATAAATAATTGCTTATTTGCAAAGAAACCAACCTATTTTGGGATAAAATCAACAAATTACAAAACAAATACAAAAATAATCGGATCAAAATGAGGATCTATTTTAGGATCAAGATCAAAATTTGGATCAACTGTAAAATACCCATATCTTGTAACAAGAGGGCCATGATAGCCCTGAAGTCGCTCCCGGAGCGGGGCCAGTTTAAACCCCAGGGCTTTTATTTGAACAAACTTGGTAGACACCCATTAGAAAATGTTTCATGCTAAACATCTAAGGTCTAGCTGGTCAAGTTTTTTCTTTACACATATAGTCAAAAACAATGACACACATTGGGCAGGGCCAATTTTGACCCAAGGACTTCTATTTGAACAATCTTTGTAGACACTTACTAGAAAATGTTCCATGCTTAATATCTAAACTCTAGCTATTCAGGTTTTTTCAAAGAAGATTTTTAAGTTTTTGCTATACACATATAAAGCAAATCAATGTCCCCCAGGGCGGGCCAACTTTGACTCCAGGGCTTTTATTTGAACAAACTTGGTAGACACTCATTAGAAGAGGTTTGATGCTTAGTATCTAAACTCTAGCTATTTGGTTTTTTCAAAGAAGATTTTTTAAGTTTTGCTATACACATATAAGGAAAATCAATGACCCCAGGGCGGGGCCAATTTTGACCCCAGGGCTCTTATTTGAACAAACTTGGTAGACATCCATTAGAACATGTTTCATGCTAAATATCTTAGCTCTAGCTCTTTCGGTTCTTTAAAAGAAGATTTTTCAAGTTTTTACTATATGTATATAGGGAAAATCAATGACCCCCTAAGGCGGGGCCAATTTTGACCCCAGGACTTTTATTTGAACAAACTTAGTAGACACCCATTAGAAGATGTTTCATGCTAAATATCTTAGCTCTGGCTCTTTTGGTTCTTTAAAAGAAGATTTTTTAAGTTTTTACTATATGCCTATAGGGAAAATCAATGACCCCCTGGGGCGGGGCCAATTTTGACCCCAGGGCTTTTATTTGAACAAACTTGATAGACACTCACTAGAAGATGTTTCATGCCAAATATCTAAGCTCTAGCTCTTTGGGTTTTTTAGAAGATATTTAAAGTTTTTTTCTTTTGGTTGCCATGGCAACCAGAGTTCTGCATGGAATTAAATTCTTAGAACAATTTTCAAAGGTGACCACCAAAGGAACATTCCTGTGAAGTTTGGAGGAAATTGGCTTAGTGGTTTATGAGGAGATGTCATTTAAAGTAAAAGTTTACGGACGACGGATGGACGGATGCCGGACGGATGCCGGACGAAAAGCGATCACAAAAGCTCACCCTGTCATTTTGTGACAGGTGAGCTAAAAATAACAATAAATTCATTCTAAAGTTTCATAAACATGCTATTTCAGGTCCAGTTTTATTAAGTTATTACTGTAAAATTAATTCATGAGGATAAATAATGGAGAATATTTCAGTTTTTAAATTTGATCATGATCCTTAAATCTTTGTGAACACGGGGCCTGGCCTATTTGAATCAAATCAAAAACAATATAATTTCCTGATAGAGATACCTCTTATGATTATATAAACAAAAATATGATTATTTTTTATTAAAAGCACCAATGATAAATATTTATAAGAAAATCATAAGTAAAATGTATGATACATGAACACAGTTTATATAACAATGCCTTCAAAAAATTCTTAAAACAAATCCATTATCTGTTTTTTTTGTAGAATATCTTGAGAAAAAAATATAAGGTTATCACAAGAATGAATGATACTAAATAACTGCATTATGATATAATTAAATGATCATAATTTATGTGAAGTGCGAGAAATTTCTGTCCTGTACAAGATACAGTTAATCAATGTGAAAAATAAAATAACTATACCTATGTTAAGGTTATACTAAATAGGCTATATAAATTATTCCAAAAACTTGTAACAACAAGACCTGTCAGTAGAACAGCGTGCACAACTATTCTCAGTGCTTGATTGTAAAACAAGAGAAGAATTTTTCACGTTCAAAAAGAGCCATAATTCTGTTAAAGTCCATGTTACAGTTATGGGTGTAGAACAGGGACCTCCTATTATGCTCTCAAAAAAGTGTATGAAGTTTCAACCAATTTCTTTCAGTAGTTTTGGCAAACCATCTTGTACAGTTTATTTCTAAAGCTACATTTTGCCGAGTTCTTAAGATCACTTGTTGCGTAATTTGTGTCTACATCTTGCAAACCCTAAGAGTATGTTCTGCTGAAGAACTGAACATTTCTAGACATGTATATAATAATCAAGTTACATATAAATTTGTCTTCAGTTTGTACAGCAACAATAACAACAAGCACTGAGCCATCAAATAGCTTCAAGAATAAACACTACATATTATTTTTCCTTAAACCAAAGAACTTGTACCACGGTTACAGTATTTTGCCACAAGGCATTTACTTATTATAACAGTTGATTTCTTTTCAATTAGCAAAGAATATTATCTAAAACAACTATCTTTTCCTAAAAACTAGATGGTTTTTATCAGAAAAAAAATGTTTGCCAGGAAAGTTAAATTCATGTGAATATGGTTTATTTCATTTTTGAGTCAAAAGTATTAATCATATTCTGGGTGGTTAATAGGTATATCTATATTTGCTAGTAAAGTACCTGCCGCAAATAAATGAAAGTATTTGTGTATATGTTCTGGTATAGGTGGTTAATAACTATGATTTTACTACATTTTCATCTTCCTCATCAGATTCAGGATTTGAATCTGTAAAGTAACACCCTTCTTCATCTTCATCTCCTGCTGTTACACATTTATCAGTATCCTTGCTCTTTAACTTGTCCTGATCTGTCACACATACAAACCCCATACTATTCAAACCATCTCCAGATTTATCACCAGCATTTTCATGTCCATCTTTATTAGGAATGCTTTCACCATTGCTTAAGTCTCCCTGAGTATTTAAATTTTTCTCAGATGTTTTGTCAATAATTGCACTTTGTTTCTTAATTGCACTTGCAGGCTCATCATGACTGTCTTCTCTCACTCCTTTAGTAATATTATCATCAGTTTGAACATTGGAAGGAGTTTCACTTGTTGCTGTTGTTTTGCTGCCTGTATCTGCTTCACCCATGTCCACAAATTTTAAACTTGAGTCTTCAAGCTTCAATTCACTAGAAGTTCTAGATTTATTGGCTTCATTGTCATTTCTACTTTCAGAGTTTGATTCCCTAACGTTTCCTGTGTTTGTAACGCAAGCTCCATTCACGTTTTCAACATCAGGTTTTATAGGGAATTCTTTTAATTCACCAATTTCTTTTGTAAATTTCTGTGTAATTTTCAGTTCATCTTTTGTGCGAACACCAACAGCTTTTAGAATAATGTCTAGATTATTTTTATAATCTCCATGCCCGTCAATCTGAAAATATCATACAATTTAAAATGCTCATTATTTTTACTAAAAGCAAATATTTATCAAGGCCAACAATCTAAAAATATTATAAAAATTTAAAATATTCATAATAAAGAGTTAATAATTATATTTCATTTTCAGACTGGTATTACTCTTTATTAGTGGCAAATATTTATCATGGCCATTTATAACCAGTCTTCGAGATAACATGAGTATACAGTAATATACATCATAAAATCTCTTCGCTTCATTTTACACAAATTATGATATAAATCTGCTTCCTTTCAATCAACATTCCTTCATAACTGCATAAGCAACATAAAAATATCAGTTCTGTGTAAAGACAGACAAAAGAATAAATTCTAGAAAAATGGAATTTTTTTATCCCCTGGAACAAAATCATAATTATTTTATGATAATTTCAGTAAAAGTGTTTTTTATTTACTTCCACAGTATATTCACTTGCCCATCACCACTGTTTATTTGAATCCCATTAATGACTGGATTCTATCATGTGTGGAATCCTTTGCATAGTTTTCCATTTTAAGAGCTTCATTTGATATTTGTAAGATTTTCAAATTTTATGTTTTTATGCGTTTAGTACCTCGGGGTAGTTCCATTATCACAAGTAATATCAGGGTATTCCAAGACAGTAACATCATTAACCTATGTGTAAAAGATCCTCAAATGTTTTTTTAAACATAAAAAAAATGTTACATAGTAGAGTCAGAACTTACTATATCACTAAGATCAATGTTGTGCATCCTTCTGTTGTCCCATTTCACTGGGGACAGACCTGCTACATGGAATGTGACAGATGCTGTTCTATATAAAAACTTGAGCAACCAATCACCTCTGTATAAAAAGAAGCAGAATTCATTATGTAAATTTAATTATCTGAAAAGGCTTAATATTTAAACAGATGCCTTAAATTGCAATAAAAAATTAAACCTCTAAATAAGTCAAACAAAACAGAATACTAGTAATAGACAAGTGCTGTTAACAGAACAGTATGCTAATTGTTCACAGTAGCGAGTCTGAAAAAAAAGAGCATGCATGCAATGTTAACACTCACTGTTAAGTGCAACTAGTTTTAACAAAAATACTTAATTAGAAACGGGTATAACTAAAAAAATATAGCTTTCAGAGTTATCCCCCTTGTCTAACGACTGCACTTTTGTTGTGATAAGCAAATATTCAAAGTTGATAACTTTTAAATGATTGGATAATGGGCTATATTCAAATTTATGCAAAATGATGACAATGACAATGCAAGGATCATAATAGTTAAAACAAACAAGCTAAAAAACAAACAGTAATTTTTTTCAACTAAAAGAGCTATAATTTTCAAAGCAATACCCAATGTGTTCTATGAAAGAAACTTATTTGAATCAATCAAGGGCATAAATATGAAACCTTGACGGTGTCTCTCTTTTATTAAAATTTAATCTAATGACAACATCTTAACATCATGTATTTACTTGACCACGTGTATTGTGGGCAAATAACTCACCTGGCATAACCATTTACAATTTTTCCACCTACAACTTTGATAAGTGGTTGCCAGTTTTTTGGGTCCCCTGATACAGGTGCACCTAACAATATCACATCTTCTACCAAACCTTCACCACCTGAAGTCATAAATAACATAACATCATTGAAAACTTTGATAAGAAATTATATTATTAAAATTTGATTTACATTTCACTAATTTGTGAGTGTTCATCAGTATTTTTATAGGGATGAATCATTTACCAGTGAATTTATGAAAATAAAAACCTTACTGTATTCCTTTTCTGTTACCTGATAAACAAACCATCATTAAAGGAATTCCACTTTCACATGACAGGACCAAAAATATTTTTCTGAAATTTGTGTACCATTTGATGTAAGGCTGGTCCAATAACTTGTGTGAACAGATCATTCTCCCGCTCAGTTTTTCCAGAATAATTATTTTTGATATGCAAAATGACACAAATATGCAACACTTTTAACTAAAATCAGGCTTAAAATTGCACAATACATCAATATTGAATTTAATTTCAAGTAAATTCCTTTATTCATCTTTGCAGATTTTCCCAGTTAAGTCCTTCACTTAATCAAAGTAAGAGTTTCCAATTTTATGTTTTTAATCTTTATGACCTCATTGAAGCTTCTTTAAAGTATCTTAAATCTTGGAAGTTTTTGATTCATGAAAAATATTATACTTCTATAATTATGACTGACCTGCAATAGATGGCTCTATATGATAACTACTCAGAAAAACAGCTTAATATAACTTAATTAAAAATAAAATACCCTTTCTTTTAGCAAGTTCCTCTAAACAAGAGAAGATAACTCTAGCTCCTAGACTGAAACCAATCAGAGTGACGGGTCTGTTTCCCTGCTCTCTAGCTAATAAAACCTCAGCGAGCTGTTTCCCGGTTTCAGTAGCTCTCTGTGTACAAACATGCCATGGATTGTCTATAGCCCCTGATGCTGCAATCAACGCTGCTGGCCAGGCTATGGCACTGATTATCCCTGTTTTTTATATACATAATAAAGTTTTAACATGTAACCCACTGGAACTGAAAGTAATTAGTTTGAAGTCAAGTTTGACATGAAAATCTTAAATTTCAAATTCCTAAAATATTTTACAGTTTAAGACATCAATTAATATAAATCCCCAGTTTAAACAGATAGAAAATGTAAGCCCTTTGAAAATTCACAGGTCAATCCCCTATTTCACACTGTCTTACCCCATATTCCTTCAATCTAATTTTCAAGCTACAGATAGTCATATAATTATGTTGTATTTCCATTGCTAATTTCAATAAAACTCATATTTTAAAGTAAGTATAAGGTACCTGATAAAACGGTGTATTTCAAGGCCTCTGTGGTAGCCATACTAAGTCCAGTCTGTAGAAGATAGTCAAATGCCTCCCCTAATTGATACAGATATTTGGACTCCCATCTCACACTATACTGTTCCTTAGAATCAGCCAATGCACTCCATGGAATTCTAAAATCTGAAAATTAAACGTGTTTATTACTGGTCACTGAATTTAACTCACTTCAGTGTTGGAGCAGTACCAATAGACCCTGGCAGAATTCATGATCACAAAGTAGAAAAATATCGCTTTTTCTGTCGATTCTTACATTTTTTATTCATTATCGTATATAAATCGATAAGAAAAGATGAATTACCAGTAGACATTTTAAAGTTTATTCTTTTGGGTGAAAAGGCAAGATTTTAACATTTAATCATTCAAGCGCCTTGTCCGGTATATTCTGGAATATGGTATTTAGTGTGGTACTCCAACACTTTCTTTCATTTATTATTTAGATCTACTGTACTCAAGTTAAGTTTTATACTTTTTGTGTAAAAAAGAGGGGGGGGGGGGGCTGAGAACAACACTTATATACAAGTATTACATAGTAGCATGATGCAGGGCAAAATTGAAAATGTTGCAAGCTTGGTCTGATTGGGCTTGTACATTGCTATAAGCTAGTTTTCGTTCACGCTCCCTAGCGAATAATGATGCAAATTTTCACTTGTTTTTACATTAACCACTGTAATATTACAATACTATGTATATCATCATAATGAAAGGTTTGGAATACCTTGTAATCTATCATTGATCCAGCCAGTGACTGCTATAGTTATATGAAGTTGTTTTACGCTCCGTGCACAATTCAGTCGACTACCCATCAATGTTAGTGGTTCAAAGGCAAACTCATCTATCGCCCCAACCCTCCGCTTCATCTTGTAACCTAAAATGACAAAAATTTTCAAAATAATTTGCAATGCTTTCATGTAAACATCATTTTAACAAACAACTATCGTATATCAAACTTCCAAAACACTGATATATTTTTTATCCTCACTAGAATCTGTACAAACTGTAAAGTAGACACTAAGAGGGCTTAGAACTCATTTATATCATTATCTAGATAACCCAGTGCAAAAGTAAATAGGGAAATATTTTTAAGAACCAGAGTAAGGCTGAAATACAAAATTGTTTTGCTGACAGACAAACATACAGTGATATTCACCAACTTTGCTCATATATAAAGAAATATGATGGCAACCTCAGTAAGGCCAGGACCAGAAATCTATTGAGAGGCACATACATTTTAACAATCAAGCCCCTTAAGTTATAATCATTAATCTATTGAGAGGCACATACATTTTAACAATCAAGCCCCTTAAGTTATAATCATTAATCTATTGAGAGGCACATACATTTTAACAATCAAGCCCTTAAGTTATAATCATTAATCTATTGAGAGGCACATACATTTTAACAATCAAGCCCCTTAAGTTATAATCATTAATCTATTGAGAGGCACATACATTTTAACAATCAAGCCCCTTAAGTTATAATCATTAATCTATTGAGAGGCACATACATTTTAACAATCAAGCCCCTTAAGTTATAATCATTAATCTATTGAGAGGCACATACATTTTTAACAATCAAGCCCCTTAAGTTATAATCATTAATCTATTGAGAGGCACATACATTTTAACAATCAAGCCCCTTAAGTTATAATCATTAATCTATTGAGAGCCACATACATTTTAACAATCAAGCCCCTTAAGTTATAATCATTAATTTCAATCTGACATTGAGTAATATTAATTTTGTTGTTTGTTTTGTTTGATTTAATGTCTCATAGACACAGTCACACTGTTAAGGTCAATCAGTGACTTTCCAGCTTTACTGAGGGTAGAAAAACCTAATAGGTGCCCCTTTGTGTATTAATTTAAGCACAAGCTGGCACCTGAATATACACACAGACATTCTGTAAGCTAGCTGGATAGCTTCCTTCCAGGAAAATATGCTTCCTCCCAGGAAAATATACAAAGTCCCTTGGGGAATTAGAACCTACAGTTGTGAAAGGCAAGTGGTTTGAAGTCAATGACCTTAACCACTCAGCAACAGATTCCCCTTCTAGAAATAACTTACCAGTCAAGCCAGCTCCAGCCACACCAAACAGTGACCCTATTATAGCCACACCAGCAGCAGATCCAAGTGCCGCTGCACCTGCTCCACCTATAACAGCCCCGGCTCCTGCTGCTACCAATGGTGCAGCTAATCCCCCAGTCAAACCTTTACAAGTAAACAATATTTCCACTTTTTACCATTGAAAGTAATCATAAACAGATTTTTTTTTTTTAAATATATGATTTTAAAGAAATCAATTTATTATTAAAATTCAGGTCTATATTTTTTACTAATAAATGTAATACTATATAGATTTCATTTTAACATCTACGTGTATCTAAGTATTATCACCAACCATGAAATTACAACCAGAGATCCAAACTTTACAACAAACACAGTATAATTCTTAACAATTCCAGTAAAATTCAATTAAAAAGATTTCAAGAATTTGTATTTTTAAGAACTTAGCACATTGAACTTATAATAAGTTATTTGACTGATAATAATTTACATTTGAAATTCTTCCAACTATGTTTTTTTGATGACAATAATGATTAAACTAACAGGGTGGAGCCTTATTTACCTCATTGCTTTCATTTCAGAAATAATAAAGTTCAATATGGGAGTTTCTTACCTATCAAAGCTCCGCCTCCTACTGTTGCCAGGCCAATCAAAGCATATCTTTTTACCTTTCTATTTCTGGATTTCTTTGCTTTTTCTTTCATTTCTTCTCTAAAAAAAGCATGAAATTTATATCAAATTTCCCTGTATAACATGTTGTCATTACCCTTTTTTCTTATACTGTAGATTTTTAACAATAAATGTGGTAATTATATAATAAAAATTCTGTATTCTGAATGCAATCCGTCATAATAAAGCCATTAAACATTTCTATAATTTATTCACATGGGTGAAAGTTGTATGAAAGTTTGTACTTGGCATTTTGGTATAAAGTTTTTTTTGGAGAAAAATATGGTTTTTAGGAGTTTAAAGTCAAGAATTAGTCAACTTCCAACGATGCAGTCAGAAATACCCCTATCAATCTTAATTCCATATTTATATCAGTTAGCCATGCATGATTTTGCTGCAATGATGTACATGTACAAATAACGTCCTCTCTAATATTGGTATATTAATAAGATAATACTAGCCCTACATCTGACATTATGTTCTTCTGCTTTATATTTAAATTATAAAAGAACATTTTCAATACAAGTAAGTATAATAAATAAATATAAAATAAACATCTGTTATAAATGGTACAATATACAGAAAAATAAAGTGCAAGGAAGTTAAACTGTAGATTTCATTAATCAATAAAACATTTTATTCCAACCATACACAAGTGGCTTACTAGCCATCAAAGTTTCCCTTACAATCTTCTCAATATCAATCAATACAATACAATATGAACAAATTAATGCTGACAGAGGTAAAGTACATTTGTAAGAACAAGTGTTTTACATGGAGTTTAGTCTTAAGAGGATTGAGAAACTGAAATACTCTATAATGAATGAACTGGGCAAGTTATCTGAAATCAATGACCATCTTCAGTACCAAATAATATAACATCGGTATGTTCATTTTAGGAATTCTTAAGGAAAAAAGAAATACAAACCAATGCAACTGAAATACTGTATAAGGGGTTAGTTTTGCGACATGGAAATATTTGTGATTTTTGCGAAATGAAATTATTCGCAAAAATTTAATTGCGCAAAAATTATTTATTTTTGGACAATCTTTCTATCATTTGAAAACACGTTTTCAAATAGCATCTTACAAGAATAAGTTTGACTGTTCTGGCAATGAGATAAAATTTCCTCATTGCTTGTTTGTTTAAGTTTGGTCTTAACAATTCACAAATGATTTAAAGAAACAATATATGTGTTAATAATGCAATAGGTTATTCATATAACAAAAGAATGTTTCAAAATATGATAAAGAAATTTGTGATTGGGTCCTTTATCAAACTTACTATGTATATTTCAAACAATTATATAGATAAGAAAGGTATAAAACAAATTAATAGAAGAATTACAATCATTGCATATTCTTAACATGTACCTGCTTAATTAATGATATCACACAAACAGTATACAATTCAAGAAATCTTTGTGACGAACATTTTTGTGACCCATAAATATCTACTTATACAGTAGGTGGGGGTGGGGAAAATCTTTCTTTAACTATGGTACCTACTTTACCAAAACTGGCATGGGTCAAAGGACGGGAAACAAATATAATTTTAAGGCTTGCCTTTGAGTGCTTAGTATAAACAATAACACAGCACAGCCTTAAAGTGCTTAATATAAACAATAACATAGTCACTTTAAATCTAAAACAATTAAACAAACAAAAAGTGTAATGAATTATAAATCATTCTAAATTAAAATGAAAGCCTTTTAATCAGCTATCTAACATTTAAATAATAATAATATAATAATAATAATAAAATTACAAGAAATAATAAGAACAATGTGTATGTACACTGACAACACATAGATATACCTCTCCCTCTTGGAAGGACTTAAATTATCAGAAAAAATAGAATTTCATCTACATTGTACTGGGGTGTGGATGACTTTTTTCTTTTGCCCATGGATAAATGTATTTTTAAAAATTTGCTTGCAGGCTTTAGTTATTTATGCCATTTATATCTATTGTTGTTTTATTATTTAAAGATATATTATGCTCCAAAATTTTATAACTGCTACATAGTCTCTTTTTTTAATTTTCAAATGTACACATAGTAGAGATAGATGTTAAATGTGGATATAACATTCAAGAGAAAAGGCTGATAGAATATTATCATTTTAAAGTAATTATTGCAAATCTTGTTCCTAAAGATATGTCCATAAACCCCTTGCTGACACTCAGTTTTTTATCATATTTATATATCTTTATTTATTATATATTCATTATATTTTATTATGCACAATCCATAATGGGTTTGCGACCAGCATGGATCCAGACCAGCATCTGCGCAGTCTGATCAGGATCCATGCTGTTTGCTTACCAACCATACAACAAGTAGAGAAACTGATAGCGAACAGCATTGGTCCTGATCAGACTGCGCGGATGCGCAGGCTGGTCTGGATCCATGCTGGTCGCAAACCCATTATGTTGGTTTTGTCATGACGCGACTCAAATGATTTTGCACAATAGTTACCATGTCTCATAGACTATTATACTCAATCAAAAAATTTCAAAGTTCGTAAAAACTTACTCTGACATTACGTATGTATCATATTCTAATGTCTCGGCAAATTCTTCCTCGATAGCCTCAACATCATCCCACGTAACTCTCAGCTGCCAGGCAATATGCTTGATTAATACTCGCATCCGAGCATCATAGCAACCTGTATAAACACAAAGTATTTGTTAACTAAAATACACTGTATTCAATGCAATGCAATTATTCAATGCAGTAATTTTCTGAAAATAATATTTATGCTATTTTATCTTATGTTATTGAGGAGTTCGATAAAGTCTACATGCATCAAATTCTGAAATTCTTAAAATCAATGTTACTGTAGCAGAACAATTATATATTTATTACAAAAACTGGGTATCAAGTGACATAACTCTGCAGTTTAACACAAATAATGTCCCTATCACTCAGAGTTGTTATTAAAACAATTTTAAACATTTTCTAAAGAAAACAATTCTTGAGGTGCCATGGCCAATTGGTTAACACATCTGACTTGTAATGTTATGCTTTCTAACAATGTGGGTTGAAACCCTGTCAGGGGCAAGTCATTGTTTGCTTGAGATAGAAACTTTACACTAATTGCTCAGTACTGGTTGGTTCCAGGAACAGGCTCGAGAGTGAGTCTATAAGCTTATGGCTCCCTATACAATCAAACTTAAATAAATTCTGTATAAACTAAAAGAATACACATTCACATCCTATATTTATTTACAATATTGTAACATTCAAAATTCACAGATGGACAAGTCCACTATACAAAAACAGTGGGGACAGGATGAACTTGGTTCTCACCTTCGTTGATTGCTATTGTAATAAGTTCAACTATAAGGGGTTGTCTGGACTCCTTCAAACATTCCTCCGCCATTAAAGAGTCTACAAAGGCATCGCATTCTGTCATTATCTCCCCTTCCATTAAGGCAAACATCGAGTCATTTGTCTGGAATGTATCATAAAAGTGAGTCAGTGGAATTTTTTTCCTTACTTTTGTTACCTTCACTAGCAATATAATAATAGAGGATATTCAAGTTTTTTTCTATTAATACAGGCAGTATGAAAATAAAAATTTCACAATAAGCCACAGAAAAAACGAATGTCATATTTATAGAAAAACTTGAATTTTCTGTTTATTAAATAACATATCTCTATTTTGACCTTTAAATTCAAAAGATTTTTCCTCTATAATGTTGTTTATTGGCTGAATTTAGAAGAAAGTAGTATGGCAAGACACCAGTAAAAATATGGAAAATATGTTTCACTGTAGTGGAAAATATACTTTTTACAGTGAAAACACAGAAAATGAAAGCATGCATTTTATGACATCAATATTTCTCAATATCTCATTTATATGTATATAATAAACAATTCTATTTTACAGCAAAATTGCACCTTTATAATACAACTACACGTATATTCTATTTCTCTTGTTAACTGAATTTGTTCTTCTGAAAAGCAAGAAAAGGAAACATCAATGTATTCTATGTCTATTTTATTGGATTTTAAGTCACCAACATTGAAAAGGCTATATGGCCATTTTCCAGATTTACTGAGAAAGACCCCAGGTGCTCCTTCTTGTAGTACATTATTCTCTTTTAAGGTTACTCTGACACAAGCAGATACCCAAGTTGAAGCACTGACCGCTAGCATTCAACTATGGGTAATTAGCAGTTTTTGCTTCCTGTGTTATGAGAATCATTTGCTATCTATAAAAGTGGGGTTCTCTAAATTACAAGTACAAGAAATACAAGAAAATTGCTAACTTAACCCTTTCCCCCATGAGCATATTGTGAAAAATGGCCATTTTCACTGAAAAGCCTCCTCTTACAAGTTCAAACTGCTATGAAACTATGAAAAATGTTTCAATACTAATCAAACTTGGCACAAATCTTGACTGGACCATTGCCTTTGTAACGACATGCTCAGTCTTAAATTTCCTGTTACCATGGCAACGAGGGGACATCTCAAAATTGCCAAAAATCACTATTTTGCCTCGATTTTTTCCATCAAAATTGATTTCAAAGTGCTGCAACTTCTCAAGGGATTGAGATAGAGTCAAAGGCTTTTCAGCGTTGGTTACACGTTACCTTATGATCGACTTGGGGTCATTTTTAGCCTCTCACAAGTCCAAAATTTTCTTGGCGATGAGGGGGACTCCGCCCCACCATCGCACCCCAAACAGAAGGGGTCACATCCCCCTTCTGGCAACCCCCTGATGTATCTTTTGGATGGGGGGGGGCGGTGTCGAAAAAATGCTCACTTTTTTTTGCAACATTTCTCAAACGAAAACATGTGTTTGGGGCCCAAATAGGACATTTTTTCACTATTTTAGACCTAAAAAAGGGGGGGGGAGGGTCGAAAGTGCATTGTTTCGTGTAACTATATATGAGGTAAAGGGTTAACAAAAAATGATGAAAAACTCAGGAATCACCCAAAATCTAGTTTTTCCATGTTAATATGTAGTCTTTCACCTAATTTTGGTGAAAAATTGTTGTTTTGTAACATTAATAATTTTTTTAGTTAAGTTAAATCTTATTTTCTGATACTAGTTTCATTTAAAACCTTAAACCCTAAACCATTTTTTTTCCCCACTTATCAAGACTGAACATTTAACAACTTACTAGGAACATGGAAAATATCATTTTCTGGCTATATAAAACACTAAGAAAAACAATTTTCACATTTAAAACTTTAAAATCTTATTTTTCTGACAGATTCTAAATCTCAAACAACCCTAGCATGACTGAAAAGTTGCTACATTCACTAAACAGTGCTCTGGTGTGTACTATCAACAAACTAACAGATTTTTGTTGTTCTTCTTACCTGTTTTGGCTGACCAAACTCATGCAGTATCTTCGTAAGTGTTTTCTTCTTGAAGTTCCTAAAAATGAAAAAGAAACATAATATGTATACACAACTTTAACAAAGATCTAAATTTTTACACAATAATTATGCTGACTATTTATAATTCACCACTCACAAGTTCAAGTTTGAATCCCACTACAGGTATATCATTAGTTTTCTTCCTGTGCTAACTTATAAATGGTATAATATGTTTCATCTACTTTAACCTTATCATAACGATAGGGTTTCTAATGTCTCCCTCTTCCATTAAAATATGTATAATTCAGTATTATGTAAATAATAAATGTATCAAATCGTGTATTGTTTCACTGTTTGGACTGTTGTAAAGATATTTAGAAATGGGGCTTTTTTTTATTAAAAGGTAGACAACGCTATAACAATGAATTCATTTTTACAGAAAAAATGATCATAAATTTAGCAATAGGCTATATAATGAATATCAGTGATACAAAACTTTGGAAATAAAAATCCTTGAAATGAATCAGTTTTCAGTAAGTGTATATATACATGTATGATACATTCCTCAACTTCGTTTTATATTTCACCATTGTAGGCGATTCGCTCTCATGCAAAAGGGACGCTCTGATTGGCTAATGCCGATAATGGGCGGTTATCGATCACAAGCAACAACTGCTTGGGATTTAACATTTTAAGCAAATGGGGGATGAGTCTTGCACCTGTAATCATCGGAAATTAAATTATTCAACAGATGAAATTAAAGTAATCAAACGGTACATAGAAATCACTAATCCTGATATTTTGGATTATAAACTACCATATTTGCATGCATCAAATTGAAATAGCATATTTTGAAACTGTGCGTCTTTTTCGATGTTTATGCGTATTTTACGCAAGACGCACATCTATATTAATCACTGTGTATCCATGTATATAAATATGTGTAATATAAGTAATAAAACCTACTCCTGACATTCCTCACTGAACAATTGTGACATAGAAACTGCACACAGCCCTGCAATACTGTATAGTCCCACATCTGTTAGTTTTTTGTGGCAAGGCTCTGAAAGTATATAAAACATTGAAGTATTGTTACTGTTACTGTATAACATGCCAAATTAGAAAGAGGATAAATTCTGCAAATGTGCTTGGCAGAATGAGACTTACATGTCCTTGAAAGTCAACAAGTTTGTTGACAGTATTTGTTTGATTGGGTTTTTTGTCACATCAACACAGTATAGGTCATATGGCAACATTCCAGCTTTAATGGTGGAGGTAGACCATGAAAGAATCCAAAGTCCCTGTCGGGATTCGAACCCACAGCGATAGTCAACAAGTAATTCAAGTTTAAAGTGAATATTGTTAACAGCTTCAAGGAAACTAATATTCTTAGTAAATAAACTTAAAAGGTAAATAATGGCTTTGTTATTATAATATATGAAATATATACCCAATATTCAAGAACTTATCAGTTGAAAAACAAAAAATAAAGTTACCTGGCCTGCTAAATAGCATTCAAATTTGAAAAAAAAGTATTTCAAGAATAAAGTAAGTACCTTAGTCTTAGATAGTTTTTGAAAATGGTCCTTAATAAAAAAAGTTAACCAATGGAGAAAATGTTGAGATAGGAAAACACTTTGCAAATTACAACTTGATGTTGCCCTTTTGTTTGAGGTAGTGTTCATGTTTATCAAGTTAGAAGAGAACAGCTTAGTTTCAGAGAAAATGGACCTTAACAAAAAGGTTAATCAATGCTGCTAACAAGTGGTTCATGACAATAGCTCTACTTTTTTCATCATAAAGTGGAGCTTAGTATAATAAATACTGACAATTCTTGTTATTATTATCATACCTTTCATTCATGTCAAGTTGTACAAAGTTTATAGACTTTAATTTAGCTCAATCGTGTACAAAGCTATACAGTAAAACTGATAGACACACTTTCCAATCCATTCTTGGAATTCATTCTTGGAACTAACTAAGTAATCAGTAGGAGTGTCACGTTTTTCCGTTTAAACGCCTTTGGTTGGTTTTTAGCCTTTTAGCTAAAAACCGGTTAGAAAATGAAATAGGTTAGTATTCAAGACCAACAGACGAAGATAGGGTTTTATTTTTTAACATAACATGTGTTTATTTATGATATGATTTAACATTTTCTTTGTATTTTAGTTGATTTTTTTCCCAATTGCATGCTATATTATCTTGTGAAGTACAGTCTTATCAGACAATGGTACTTCGTAATCAGATATTTTTTGTAATTGGTGTCAAGTATAACAAAATACAAACAAAATGTGCTATCTTATTGTTAAAGTTTAAAATCTTAGAATTCTTTTTATACGGTTGTTTAAAAGTTTTGCATGGTTATTTAGTCACCTTTTAAATGGTTCGCATTTTTGCCCTTCTAATCAGTGTAGTTTCATATTAAAACGGAAACAACAGTCTACCCCTGACTGGGTTTTAACCCATACAGCTAGCAACCTTTAGATAACTAGTCTGACATTTTTAACCATTAGCCATGATGTCATTTCTTTATACTTGACTTATCATGCATGTTTATTGTTTGCTTTCTTTATGTTTATTGTTTGCTTTCTTTAACAACTTTATAACCAGGATGCTAATAATACACTGTTATAAGCCGTTACAAGCTTGCTATAGTTTATTATGGTGAAGCCCCGACGTCTAAAGCTATTGCTACTAAACACATAGCAAAATAACTAAAAAATGTCTATTGTCTTGCCTTTCAAGCTTTAATCAAAAGTGTATCAAATTTTATTTTAAGTTGTTTGGAATTCCAACCAGTAGTTTTCAAGTTATGCTCCAAACAAGGAAAAGTAACAAAGGGCAATAACTCTGTAATCAGTCAAGATGGAGTTATGGTTCTTGTGCACTGCACTACCTCTCAATTTGCTTGACCATTGTATGAAGTTGTATTGAATTCCAACCATTAGTCTTCAAGTTATGCTACGGATAAAAGAAAGCAATGGAAACGTAACAAAGGACAATAACTCTGTAATTACTTTAGATAGAGTTATGGTTCTTGTGCACTGCACTTTCCCTAATTGTGCCTGACCATTGTATGAAGTTGTTTTGAATTCCAACCAGTAGTTTTCAAGTTATACTCTGGACAAGGAAAAGTAACAAAGGGCAATAACTTTGTAATCAGTCAAGATAGCGAAATGGTTCTTGTTCTCAATGTGCTTGACCATTGTATGAAGTTGTATTGAATTCCAACCATTAGTCTTCAAGTTATGCTCCAGACAAAAGAAAGCAATGGAAAAGTAACAAAGGGCAATGAATCTGTAATTACTTTAGATAGAGTTATGGTTCTTGTGCATTGCACTTCCCCTTATTGTGCTTGACCATTGTATGAAGTTGTTTTGAATTCCAACCAGTAGTTTTCAAGTTATGCTCCGAACAAGGAAAAGTAACAAAGGGCAATAACTCTGTAATCAGTCAAGATGGAGTTATGGTTCTTGTGCACTGCGTTACCTCTCAATGTGCTTGACCATTGTATGAAGTTGTATTGAATTCCAACCATTAGTCTTCAAGTTATACTCCGGACAAGGAAAATGCAGCAGACGGCTGGACAGACTGACCGACCACCAGGTGACTCCTATATACAAAGTTGGGGGGGGATAATAAAAACAACAATTTATTTTTGCCTTATCCACCATACTGGTTAACTAAAGCATTTCACAGATTGATTCCAAATTTTTGAACAGAAAAATATTTTCGTATACGCAGACAGTACAGGGGCAAATATTTCATTCAAAAATGTTTCGTTTTAAACTTTTGACTCATTTTAACGCTTGCATTTAATTAGCCAATTAGATTTCGCACACTGTGTAAAGGCCATTTGTTTATCGGCTGTATAAGAAATTTAATTAAATAAAAGGATTTAAACATGATTTTTAGAATGCATTAGTTTAATTATTTAAATAATTTTGTTAAAAGGTATTTCTTTTATACTATTGTCGATCTATTTATACGCTGACATGTGTTTATAATTCAGCAAGATCTTCTTGCAGAAGGTGCTATGGGTTTAAGAGCATTTTCGATATGACGTTGCTTTGCCAAGAAGTAAATATATCTCAAAGCGAAGTCATATTTATAGGACTACACTATGGGTCAAGAAGCCTATCATAAAACAGGTTGGTGAAAATGCCCATGTGTCAAGAAGCCTATCATAAAACTTTAACAGGCTGGTGAAAATGCCCAATCAGGCTTATGACATAAAAAATCATATTTCTACAAAAATAATAGAGATATTTCTTTTAAACTTTACTTGTTTATTGAGCATAATATATGACATAAACAGAAAGAAAAATATTTGGTTACTGCCACTTTTGCGTGGATGATTTCTGCTTTGTCATAATTTTTGAATTCCTTAAAAAATATGTTACATATGCAAAGTATAAAACAAAATAGTTAAATAACTTCTTTATGCTCTAATTCATTGTGCCAACACCTGTCAGCCTTCATATCATTCAGCTTTCAGAGAAATCTTCAAAGTATCATGTTCAGTGTCAAAGAATTGTCAAAATATTCATGCAGAAAAGAGGATATTTAATCAAAATATACTGGTGCAATAATATTGAGCGAAATGACGTTGTTGGACATGTTTATGTTAAGAAGTTTACATTACAAAATAATTTTTATGAATTTAAAATATTTTGTTTCCTGATAATGGGGGAAAAGGGAAATAATTATAACAAAATAAAAGGCAACCAAAATCTTTTTATTTTGATTTGCATCATATATAGTGCTTTAACAAACAAAACAAGTAAGAGCTACTCACTTCCCCTCGGAGCGTGCTTGTCCCTGAGAAGGCATAGGGCGTCGGCAGAAAATTTGAAGACTTGGGATGGCGCTAAAGATCAGAACTTGTACTGCAGACCAGCTGCCGATGTCCTGACTAATGCCGAGGGGAATGGCCCTACAAAGTAGGCTCTGAGTCGACAAGGATGGTGTGCTTTGGTGCATGAGCACCTAGCACGGATAGACAGCTTGAACAGCATTATGTTGGCAGGCCTTTTGCTGGCACCAACCAAAGGGGCACCAACAGCCCTTTTAACTGTTTAAGGGCTACCTCCTTTCATTATTGTCTTAGGTTACTATACATTTAGGTTCTCATTGACAGTACAGTGACCTACTTTTGGCTCAAAATTCATATCTTTGGCTAATACTTTGTGGAAATTGCATGGAGGTAAATTATCATCACTATGTGCTTCAAAATTAATTCTTTAAAGGAATAACTGGCGACATGTGCGGGGTCCGTACTGACCAGCGAAGCTGCATTTTGTTCCTTTAGGAGCGGATAAACCCTCATTATGCATAGACTACACACACAAGTTAGAATGAAAGATGTCAATTATTTTTCTAGAAATCTAATTTTTATGTGATAAGCCCACCAGCTAGCCTGTTTAACAGCGCGTTTAACAGTGTTTTCTGTAATTTCTAAATAACATTACTTATTTCTCTGATAACTATTCGTAAAATTGTATTCAAAATATACATATACCTTTATGTTTTTCAGCTGTCACTGACTTTTCTTTGCTTTTATTTAGAGACATTGCTAATTCCAACTTTTTTGCGACTTGACAGCTGACATAACAGACTTCCGGTTTGTTTGTACCACAAAGAAACTTGAAATACCACTAAGTACTAAGTACCGAATTCGGCTAATATCTACCGAACAAAACTCGAACTTACAAACAAAACACGAAAGAATCTAAAAGTTTTACATGATGAAGGTCGGCTAAATTTCTATTCCATTCTAATGATTTGAATCACTTCGAGTTGATTGTGCAACGTTGTAATCTCATGAGCCCGATAAAAAATAGTGCCAGATGAATTATTTTCAAAAGATACTAAATGCAACATTATAAAAAGGCTACTGTAAGATAAAATATTCATGGTTTGTGCCCTGTCCTGTTTTTGTTTGGGGTCCGCCTGGGCTCCTTGCCGCTGGTTCTTGTTGCTGGGCCGTATTGGGGTTGCGTGCATTGGACGCCGCCTTTCCTTGTTGATCTTGTTTAACACATTTTATATATTATACAGTATAGAAAATAATATCCCATAAGTAAAACTGTAGAGATATGTATTTCTACTATTTTTGAATTTCTAAATCAAATTCTTTAAAGAAAATGAATATTTCTTTCAGCTATCAATTTAATATAGAATTATATTATTTTTAATGGGATTATAAGTATACATGACCTTGGTATGATTTGACACATAATGTTATGTAATTTAATTGCCCACTGATTTGCCACTTTTGTCTGTGAATTATAATTTGGATTATTCAAGATAATTCAATCAGTTGACCAATGAAGATATAAACAAAATAGTTAATGTCACACAAACCGATTAATCTCTTTATTGTACCATTTCAAAATATGTTAGCCAAAAAGCCAAGAACAGAAACGTCTAGGAGGTGCAAAGACCATAGCAGAAATGTTCTGGGGCTTAAACGTCCTGTCACCATTGCAAACAGAATTAATATAACCTGTCATAATTCTTTATACAGCAGAATCACTTTATTTGGGGGAAACCGAAAAATGCCCAAGAAATTGAAAGTAGCCGTGCAAGTTTATTTAAATAAACGTCACAATTAACGTGCAGTCTAATAATCTGTCAAGACTCTTTGTAACGATTTTTAATACATGTACAGCAAACTTTTTTTATTTGGGAAAAATACTTGAGCAGTGGTGTAAATAGTTTCTTTAAACGCTTCGATTATCCAATGAGAGACGACTTTACAAATGTGCAGCATTAAAATGAGCCATAGTATTGAGCGGACAAAACAAATGACAACATTTGGTTTACTGACGTCATGTATGATATTTGTTTCACCATAATGCATGTTGTGATTTTAGCAAAGCAATTTGTTAGGCTTTTACTTATTGACTAATTTTGTGTGAAAATTCAGACTTCATTTGTTGTCATATTGTTACTTATTACTTTCAATCTTTTGGCACTTGCTTGTAGAATCAGTCTGTATGATTTTGATATGGTAACTCTGTCAATGTTTATTCTCATAAATTTTGGACGATAGTCCTGCATTTGTCGTAGTAAGCCAACTTAATCATCGGATATCATCAAGAAAAAGTCTATATGATAATGGTATAGTAACTCGTCAACAGTTGTCATATGAATATGAGAGATTTGTCCATGTCAATTAACAATGAGGTCACCTTCAAATATGGAGAGATAAGGCATTTGTTATATACACTGGTAAAAATTATTCTAATGGTAATTCTGAGATAAGTTGGAAAATGTCACTTTCTGCTTACTAATGGAAATATATTTTATGTTGAAATTGAGTGAATTCTAAACAATAACAGATAATGAAAAACATTGTAAATTTAAGAAGATATTATAGATTAGAAACTAGAGATTATATGTACATCAATAAACATTTATAGAACATTACAGAATTCTTATTAATATACTTGTGTACTGTTATCATATGCGGGAATTGTAAAATTCTATGAGAGCATATATTATTTCTAGTAACGAGTGTATTTTATCTCTACTAACAGGTGTGGTGTTGTCATTGTCACAATATCTTTAATTCCTATGTTTGAGTGGTATGTACAAAAAATTTAATTTACATCAAACTACACATACATGTATATAAACGAAAATTACATTATAGGTTATAGTAAGAAATGTAATACACATATACTGTGCTCCTCTTAGTTCACGATATTTAACGCTTTGAAACAAGAAGGAAATAAACAAAGAAATTAAATTTAAAAAATGGCATCAGCTGCAACATTTGGTATATTTCACTGAATGTCACAGTGAGACAACAACATACATTGCATTCAATCAAAAACAGTTTTAACAGGTCTGACGTAGACCATAGGTATACCTTTTTGAAAATGGTATGTCATCATTTAAATCGCGATAAATGGTGTAACACTCTAGTTTTTTCCACAGGTGTTCGGCGCGTTGATTGGTCACTACCCCCGGGCCAACTCACCCCCCCCCACCTTACCCACTCTACAACCCTCCTACCCCTGAAAACGATGTAAACTGCAGAATTTTTTATTTCAAACATTTAGTTAATATATATTTATCATTTTTTAGTTTTTGTGGGAGATGAAGGTAATTGAATTAAAAGCATATACCAAATATTAAAACATGTTTAAAATGAAAAATACTGCAGTTTACATGGTTTTGAGAGGTAGGAGGGTTGTAGAGTGGGTGAGGGGGCCCGGGGTGGTGACCAATCCACGCGCCGAACACCTATGGTTTTTTCATGTTTCAGTTAAAATTGATAAATGTTATATTGCTTAATTTTAAATATTGAAACTATCTTAAGGTTGTAACTCATAATTTATTTTTTCAACAAACAATGCCATTAAGAAGATGGTGATTGTTTCAGACGAACTATTGTGACTTTAATATGCAGAAATTAGTAAAATGTTGTTTTGTTTTACATAAAAATCTATGCATGTTTAAAATATTTTGACTAAAATATGTGAATTTTGACCAATTAAAACGCTAGTAACATGGAAATATGCCATTGCTGTGAAATAAGTGATGAGGCGAAATTATAGTGATGTTGAGTATACAGTACACCTCCATGGTTATAGACTCACTTACACTAACTCAGTTATTCTACCAAAAAAATCATATTCGTGTATTTTATCTTTATTTGTTGTAATGAAATTTGTATAGTTTCCATGTCTTTTGATATATATGACCTGGAGTGGGTCCTGAACTTTTATTATATAAACTGGGACAGAAGATAACTTCTTTCCCAGATATAAATAAATATTGAATGATACAACGGAAACAAGACGACTCACTCCCCAGACGATTCACCCCCCAAAAAACCAAGACAACTCACCCCTCAAGACAGTTCACCCCCCGAAATAGATAAGACAATTCACCCCTCATGTTTATTGTTACAAAAATCAAAAAGTCTGTATATTTATTAATTTACAACAAAAAATTTATTATTCTATTAAAGGGGTTGAAAAGAAGAAGAAAACAAGCAAGTCAAGTTTCAAAATTTGATATATATTAATTTGTTATATTATATTATTTTATTCAATCACACCAAATAGCACATAGTTTATATTGATGGAAATGCCCATAATGTATGCACTTTTCATAAACATATTATCTACCATTTATTTTATAGTCTTGATATTTTTATTGTATATATAATGCAAACATGTACAACTGTCTACAGGAATACTTTAATTATCCATTATCTTAAAGTGCTGAAAAACATATTGTTTATTCTACATCCACTCTTTCATCAGAAGCACTTAACACCTTCCTTTATAATCAATTAAGGATGAAAAAAAGTGTTAAGGGATAAAGGGCTATTAAAAGTATACAAACATCCACTCGAAATGTCATATTTCACAAGACAGCAGGTCTTGAATAGCTTCTCAAAACAATTTTATTGGTCGCGTGTGCACAAAATTTATTTGTAGATGATGTGTCGTAAGCATGCAATGAGTTGTTAGAATGAAAGAGATTAAAGAGCAAATGATTATCACATGTTAATATCTTTGATATGTCATCTTATAATAACAATTTCAATTCAATTCAATTCTTTATTCAGCATATGAACATTATATGTTCGTCGCCATTTATCATGGTGACGGCGGTTACAATAATTGAGAAGAGCATGGTAATATATATACATACATAATCAATTCACATTACACTATGTAAAATTAAGTATGTATACCAATATTTGTACACACCGACTCTCGATAGGCCAGTAAGAGGATAATAAGCCTGTGATATTTAACATAATCAATTCACATTACACTATGTAAAATTAAGTATGTATACCAATATTTGTACACATCGACTCTCGATAGGCCAGTAAGAGGATATTAAGCCTGTGAAATATGCATACACATTTGGATATTCACTTAAACTTATTCTTTAAAATTATCATTTCAGCTACCTTCATAAGCCTGTGTGTTCAAATACTGGTTTATATTTTTAGTTAAAGCTATGCTACTTAACAAAGTTACTGTAAAGTATCAAAAATAAAAATAAAATAACAATAAGAACGTTATACTTATTGACATATAGATCTAAGGCTAAAACAAAAGGGAGACAATCTGGTTCCAATTATGCATCATATTAAAGGAGTAACCTCCCTTATACTTTTGTGCATAACATTAAAAAATTGTAGCAACAATTGTATGTATGAAACAAACATTACTGCAGCATTATTTTATGATTACATCAACTATGTTTCTACACCAATTACAATACTACTGATCAATAAGACTAGTACGTTTATTATCAGCCAGAAAAACATATTTAGCAAGTTTACATAACACACCAGATTGACTGCAAGTTAACAGTGCTTGAAATTTCTGTATAGTTGGCCAATGGCAATAATATTTTGGGAGACATTGATTTCTTATAGTACGATATTGCGGACAGACAAGTACAAACTGATACTCGTCTTCTATGACATTCATGTTACAAAATATACATTTCCTTTCCATCCTACTAATGTTTCGATAACGACCCTCTTCTATTGCAAGTTTATGAGCAGAGCACCGTAGTCTAGTTAATGCTATTCTATGCTTATTCACCTTAACACATAACAAATATTTTTCAATATCAAAACATCTTTTTATAACTTTATATGTAGTAAGTTTAGGCATA